TCTAGCCGTCTCACCTTTCAACTCTCCATCCTTGGGCCACGACTGTAACCACACTTTACATGAGGCCTTCCTTGACCCACCAGCAGGTCAGATTGTCTTCACTAAGTGTGCTCGTCGAATGCTGCTTTCTTCTCTTCAGTCCTTAGGTCAGATCTTAGCTATTGATGAGAGTGGGTGGTTATTAGTATTTCTCCCCCTCTGATGAGAGCAGAGCTTGCCAAGGAGTCAGCAGTGCCAAGCACAGTGCCTGGCATAGCTAAGGCTGTTGTGCTCTAGACATCTGCTGGGCCAGGTAGGTGCATAGGAGCCTGCAAGGGGGGCAAGGGAGGAGGGGGGACGAGCACAGACAAAGGCAAGAGATCGGTGTCTGTGACATGTGTTCAGGAAACACAAGAAAGTGGGCCGTGGGGAGTGGCTGGCACTTGAGGTGAGGAAGGTGGACTGGGCCGGGCTGGGTGCTGGTGGCATTGTTCTCATCGACTGCATTCCCAGCCAAGGAAACCAAATCTAAAAAGGTAGGAATTGGAGGACTTGGGAGAAACCAGGGCTGACCACGGTGTAGCTCAGCTCATCATCCCCTTTTCAGATGAGGAGGCTGGGGATCCTTCTTCCCACACTCCACGGCCCTTCCCATTCTACTCCTAGCCAGCGACGCTGGGTGTCGGGACTCATCTGGTCAAGGCAAAAGGGCCCCCAGTTGGAGAACTGAAAGAAATTAGCCAGGACCTCCCAGAAATTGGGCATCAAAAAGAACAATCTAGAATGCTGGCTCAGAGGGTAAGCTCTGGCCCTGGACTGCCTGAGTTCAAATCCCAGGTTTGGTCACTGACTGTTGGTTTGGGGATCTCAGACAAATTGCTTAATCTGTATGATCCTGGTTCCTCATCTGTAAAATGGGAAGAGCAACAAAAGATTCCATGGGGCTGGGTCTGCAAAGAGGTAGTAGGTATAAATAAAGCCCTTGGCACAGAGCCGCCATGTAGTGAGTGCTCAGTATCCGCTGGCTGTTCTCATGGTGGATGTGATTCTCTCCAGGAGGCAGGACACTGCAGCAGCTGAGGGGACTATAGGCAGAATTTCTTTTATTGCGATCCTGGGAAAAGAAAGAGACAAGTTTTAGGGACTTTCTATATATCAACATTATCTCATCCATCCTCCCTGCGGCTCTTTCTAATCTCACCACCCAGTTGAGGTAGAAAACTCAGAGAGGCGTTACTTGTCCAGGGTGGAAAAACTAATTGAAGATAACAGAATCACACCCAGACCCCCACAACTCTTCTAGAGAATCATCCTAGAATTGTGGACTCATGGGAACTTGCCCTCTCTCTGGCTCATCTTGAAAAACTCCCCAATTTTAGCTCATTCTTTGTCCTTTGATTGAGAATGTCTCCTCCCTGAATCTCAGGCTTCTCGGCTAGACAATTAGGACTGTTTGTAACAGTCAGGGTAAGCATTGCTAGCTGCTGTAACAAACAACCCCTTCAGCTCAGAGGCTTCACACAAATGTTCGTGTAGTTGCTGGAGGTGGGGCACTGAGGTGCTGGGTTCCCGTTGCCTATTGAATCAGTCTCCTCTAGGGCCCGAGTTCACCCAGAGCTCCTGAGGAAGTGGCCATGAGGACAGGGAGGTTGTACAAGACACCTAGCTCTGACACCTCGGCCCACAGGCGACAGGCAGACCTCACTTCCCTTCACATCGCACTGGCCAGAACTAGTCAAGGGCCCACCTCGCTCACTGCAAGGGGGTGAGCAGTATAGTCTAGCGACAGTCTGTATGGGCCCACAGAAGAGACAACCCAGGCCCTGTCGCCGTGGGGTTGGGCCAGATTCCGTGGCCCTCACCAGCCGCACACGAGTGCAGCAGTCAGGACTCCGGGCCCCCCCTCCCTGAGCCCTCCTCCTCCTCCTCCCTCCCACCCAGGAAGAGAACCAGTCCCTGCCAACCCTCCTCCGAGGGTGGGTGGTTGGTGAGATAATGATTTTATCATACTTATTGCCTCTTGGAAGGCAGGTGCTGGAGAAAAACCAAGTCCGCTTTGGTTTTTCTCCCTGTTCCTTCACATTCCTTCCCAAGATAAATTTAGCCAGGCTTCGCTTTGAACACAGTGCCCAGGATGCTGACTTTTTGTTCTCCAAGTCGAGGCGAGAGCATTTTTCTTGGCTGCAGCCTCAGGCTGGAACTCAGACTTCGGGAGCAGGGTCCCAGCCTCTGCCTGGCCCCAAGCATCTGTGACCCACCCTCCCACCCCTCCCCCCGTAGACATCAGCTGCCACATCTCGCAGACAGGGAAGCTGAGTTCTCAGTGATGTGAACAGAACAAGGAAGGGCTCTGAGGTCTGGCTCCAGGGCTGCCAGTGTCCTTACCGGCCACCCGGAGCCCAGAGGCAGCAGCACGTTCAGGGTTAAGGGCAGAGACTGGGATCCCGGCTCAGGCAAGTCACCTTCTCCTCCGTCTCCCCATCTATAAAATGGGTCCACGTGCCACCTTTGTGAGATTAACGGCGTGAGATGCTCGTATTGAGAGATTTGCTTCTTTTCCCGGTGCTCTGTAATCGTGGGTGTGGAAACCGTGGCAGTCTGTATGTAGCCTCAGGCCAACCTGAACACGCCACCCTGAGGACTTCCTTCTGTCCAGTCCGGATGCTCCTTTTCGAAACTTCTTTAGTCTCCTGAGAGGCCTCCTTAGAGAGCCGTGTTCTTGGGTGTCCTCGTCATCATATGAGTGACTTCCTTTCTGGTGTCGAGCTTTTCAATCTCCTGCTGGTACAGCCCGACCCACTCCGTCGTGCCTTGGTCTGGAAAGCCCTCTGCCGCCACCGCCCAGACCATAACTCACCACCTCGTTGCAGTGGGTCCTCTGAGTCTTTGCTTCTCAGGCTTAGGTAGCTGGGCTTCTCTCAGCCTCCTTCCTGGGGCCACTCCTATTTTTCCTGTGGGTCTCAGTCTTGAGAAGATCATCCTGTCTCCTCTGCACCCCCTCCCTCTGCCCTCGGCTGCCAAGTCCACGGGACACACCTTCCCAGGTCGGGATCCCCAGGAAGCTCTCCCTCACTGAGCAGTTTTCAGCCTTACTTTCAGGCCTGAGGCAACAGGTGCACCACCGGGGCATACACACTCGGCCCTGCCCAGGCGGAGGCGCACCCAAAAACATGCAGCCTGGACACCTTCCTGACGCTGCCCTCTGATCGCCCGTGGATGCCTCCCACTGCATAACCCCCAGGAGCCAGAGGCAGGGAGCTTGGCGGAGGCAGTGCCTGCAGACCTGGCTCCCAGGCCCTGCAGAGGAGCTGGGCAGAGAACAGGTGTGGAGCAACAGGCAAAATGTCCAGCACGGGGCTGGTGACAGTGCCCATCTCGAAGGATGGGTCTCGGTGCTTACCTGTCTCGCTAACAGATCTGTGCGTGGCAGGGGGTGGGGGGAGGCATGAGCACCCCCGTTTCATAGACATGGACAGAGAAACCCTGAGGGCTGAGTCACAAAGAGAGGCCGCACTACCAGCAAGGGTTGGAGCAAGAATCTGGACTCGTTTCTGCCCAACTCCAGAGCTCCACACAGCCAGAGCGGACACTGGCTGACATTTTATGCATTTAGATGACTCTTCCCCAAAATGATCTTGCTCCCATGCCTGTGCTCCCTCTGCTATCTGTGTACTTGGGTCGAGCATTTCCGTCTCTGGGCCCCTTTTCCCATATGCACTTTCCCTGGGAGCTGCGTCATGCAGCCATGGAATGGGGGAAGGAGTTTCTCAGACTCCTCTCTCTGGGAGAGGCCTGGGAATCTGGGGGTCAGAAACACTGGTGGGGAGCCGGCCGGCACCAAATAAGACCCACATCAACCCTACACTGTTAGGGGGTTTTCCGAGCCCCATCACCCCATCATCTCACTTAACCTTCCCTGTGCTTCTGGGACCCAGGAGCCCGTTTTACCGCCGTGGGTCCATGGTAGCCCTGAGAAATTACACTTTGCTGATACTAGGGTTTTGCCTACACTGGGCCGAGCTGGAGGGGGCACGTACTGGCTGTAGACACATGCAATTTGCATGCTTAATGACCACGAAGCCACTGGCGGTCCCTTCCCCTCCCTGGGTATCTCCACAGTGAGGCACTCGTGGCCCCATTTTGAAGGTGATTGTTCTAATCTGTCCCCAGCAGCCCCGGAGGAGAAGGGAGAGAGAATATAGTTTTAGGGAAATCTAGCATTCAGTCTTAGCCAGCTGGGTGACCCTGGACAAGTTACTTAACCCCCCAGACCCTCGCTTGAAAAATAGGGCTGTCGCATCCCTATCCCGCAGGTCTGTGATGAGGGTGAAATGACATGTGGTGTCTGGAAGGGCTTTTTGAAACTGCTCTACAAATGCAAATGTCTTTCTTCAGCAATAATAACAGCCAACACCAGCGAGCACTCCCTGGGTGCTTACCGTGTTCCAGGCACTGTTCTGGATCCTTGGTGTGTGAGCTTTCCTTCAATTCTCAGCAGCCCTGTGAAGCAGGACTTCCATATCATTCTCAATAATAAAAGAAAAAATGTTATTTATCTCAGGGAGGCTAACTGGCCCAAGTCTGCACAACTGGTAAGTGGCGATCCAGGCTTTGAACCCAAGTAGGCTGAGAAGCCTTTGGGGAGGGGTGCATCTACAGCGAGCTGGGGCCTGGGGTACCTGAACAAATAACACCGAAGAGACTTGGAGTCCAGCGGGACTCAGATTTTGCATGCATCAGAATCATCTAGGGAAATTATTTAAAAGGCAGAGTTCTGAGCCCCACCCACAGAGATGCGGACTGTACAGGTTCAAGCTGGGCCTGGGGATCTGCCTGTGTAAGGAGCCCTCAAGGTGATGTCTGCGCAGAGCGTCAGCTAACCACATGGGGAGGCCTGTGGCAGGTGTCCAGCAAACCATTGGTCAGAGTCGTTTAGTAAGTAGGGGCTATGGGCTCTGAAGGACCCTGAAACTTCAGGTAGGAGCCCTCAGTGGGACCCACCTTCTGCTTCTGGCTTCCAGGTTTGCCAAGTACTATAAGATGGAGAATGGCAGTGAGTACCGCACCCTCCTGAAGGCTTTTGGCATCCGCTTTGATGTGCTGGTGTATGGGAACGTGAGTCCTTGGGTGGGGTGGATGGGGGGACGGGGCGGTGGGGGGGAAGTGCGGAACCCAGGCCAGTTTTGGGTCCTCAAAAGCCTCCAGTCAGGGGGTGAGGTCCTGCCACTGAGCAGCTCTGAGGGTCTCAGCTGGTCACATGCCTCGTCTCTTCACTGGTACAGTGAAGGGCTGGGGCCTCCTGCTCCACCATCTCTGGCTGGGAGTCCACGTTCAGCATTGGTCTTTGTGCTTCCAGGCTGGCAAGTTCAACATCATCCCCACCATCATCAGCTCCGTGGCGGCCTTCACCTCCGTGGGAGTGGTGAGTTCAGCCCCCCTCCCCAGGCTCAGACAGGAGGCCAGTCAAGGTGGGGCCCCAGCTGGGGGTGGGTGGCTGGGAAGTGGCCCAGGGAAGTCCTGTTTCTGCCTAGAATGTAAAGCCTGACCTCTTGCCAGGTGCCTCAGTCTCCCTCACCAGCTCCCTGCCAGGTCGGTCCTTGAGTGAGCATCTCCAGTCGCGGAGAGCTCATTACCTCCCGAAGCAGACTCCCCATTTGCAGGAGGCTCCACCTGAGTTTGTACAAATTCCTGCTCCCCAGCATGAAGGGGAGGGAGGAGACTCCAGGGTTCCAACAACCTAAAGACCAGAGCCCTGCTCCCAGGGACATCTACCCTCTCACCCACCTCTTCTCCCACCAAGTCCTCTCTCTGCACTTTGGTCTGCGGTCACTGCCAAGAGCCAGAGAGGTGGGTGACGAAGACATTCTCCAAAGTCCTTGGACATTTTTCCAAGTGGAAACATCAGGTGTCTTTGGAGGACTCACCCCAAGCCCTGGCCTGCTGTCTGCCTGAGGACAGTCCTGCCCACTGCCCGGGTGGCTCAGCAGTCACCTGAGCCCCTCACTTCCTACCACACTGAGCCTGCCCTGCCTCTCCTCCTCCAGGGGACTGTCCTCTGCGACATCATCCTACTCAACTTCCTCAAGGGGGCTGACCAGTACAAAGCCAAGAAGTTTGAGGAGGTAAGCTGGAGGGGAGTGGGCGGCAGGCAGAGGAGCATGAGAGGTAGCCGACAGGGCAGGGAGGGGCGCTAGACCCTGGGGACTCCCAGAGGCTCCCCCTTTGGGGGCTTCATAAGGAGAGTTCATAGGGCCTCCATGCAAAGTGGGAGCCCAGAGAGAGGTAGTTGGCCAAGAATGGGCTCTGTGGGGACTCTGTGGGTCATCACTGTCGACACCCCCACCCACTCATGTCCCCTCTCCATTTCTGAGGTGGGACAAGTCCTGCTATTGGGTTAGCTCAGATTTCTGTTTGCCCTTGAGGTGCATGGAAAGACTGCTGGGATCTCACAGACTGGCTGTGGCTCCCTGACAAGGAGTTCCTGAGCCCAAGCAGAGAGCCCTTTTGGGACGGGGTGGGGGTCGTGCCTGCAGTTAGAGCACGATCATGCCACCCCTTCCACCTGCAGGTGGACGAGACAACACTGAAGGTCACTGCCTCGGCCAACCCCGTGTACCCCAGTGACCAGACCACCGAGGAGAAGCAGTCCACGGACTCGGGGGCCTACTCCATCGGCCACTAAGGCCTCTTCCGGGGCCCCATTCTCACCCTTGGGCTCCGGGCCTCCCCGTAGGGCACCCCATCTGAGCAAGGGAAGGGGCTTTCATTTCTGCTGCTCACCCCATGAAGCCACACTAGACCCAGGTGTCTGGGCCTCCCAGTGTCTAGCCGACAGGGGTACCTGCTAAGACCCCCATCTCTCCCTCGCCCTTTACCTTGCCCCCATCTGCTTCCTGGAACCCCCAGGGCAGCAGCACATGTACTGTCCCCCTGCTAAAGAGTAGAGAGCATAATAGTCATGACGAGTGGCTGCCAGGCACTACCCCGTGCCAGGCAGTGTCACACACCTTAGCTCATTTAACCCTTAGAATAATGAGGTAGATATTAGTTTCCCTGTTTTGAAGATAAACTGAGTTCCAGAGAGGTTGAGTCATTTGCCCAAGGCCACACAGCCAGGCCGCAAGAGAGCTGGGATTTGAACTCAGATCTGACGATGTCACCCACACCCCACAAAAGAAGAGTGAATTCCCAGGGGGCATCTGCCCCTGCTGCTTCAGCCTTCCCCACAGTGACCAGGATTAGGTGCAGCTAATAAAGAGTAAGCCCCATGCTTTCCACAGGAACCCAGGCCCCAGTCTGGGGGAGACCAGCTAGACAGTGGTGCAGGGTTCCTTTCTCTGACTTGGGTGGATCCCCAGTTCAGAAGGACCCAGGAGACATGACTTAGTTCAGTCCTCAACCAGGGGAGGGCCATTCTGTTCTCTCTCTGGGACCCCCACATACTCACACATGTCTGGGCATCCCTACCCCAGGAGTGGAATTAGGCCCCCTAGGATGCAGTGTGATTCCCAGGCCCAGGACCCTTTTCTCAGTGGGCAGTGACCCCTTGCGACACTGGTGAACAGGCTCTAATGAGGCCCATTGCCTCTTGAGCAGCTGGCCAGCCAGGCCACCCCCACGGGGTCCTCATGGGTGTCTTCCAATGCTAGAAACCCTTTCATTGCACTCTCCTGTTTACAGATGATCAGTCTGAGGCAAGGGAAGGGAAATGTCTGGTGTCCCACAGTTAGTGGCCAAGAGGACCCGGGTGTCCTGGCACTGAGAGGAGGAGGCAGGGGAGCATCAAGTCCCCCCACACCTCTGTCAGCCTGGCGTCCCCTCCCCTTTCTGGGCTCTCCTCTGGTGAGAGGCCCCAGAACCTCCCCAGGGCAGAGCTCAGGAGTGGATCCAGGTCTCTGGAAGCCTGAAGGTTACACAATTTGGGGCTTCTTTTTAAAATGATATAAAATTAGGTATTAGGAGGGGCCCATAAAGGGGCAGGGAGATGGCAGGGGGCGGGGGCAGCTTTGGGAGCCACTTGGAAGGGACTAGTTTGGGAACAGTGGGCACTTGCAAAGGCCTGACCCCAGTGATCCCCCCTCCAGGGGAGAAGGCATCGGATTCCCTCACACGTGGCCTGTCACCCTTTCCCCCACTCGGCTTCCACCCACCCCCATCCTCAGGCTGGTGGGATCACAGCTCCCCAGGGGTGGCCTTGGGCATCGGGCAGTGTCCGGAGATCTGAGTAGCAGAGACATGACTGGAGGCCGCGTTCTGCACCCGGAGGAGACCCACAGGCATCCCCGGCAGGAATCACAGGGATGCCCCCTGCACAGGACACTGCCGCCTGCCCCTCCTCCCCCCACCATTCCTGCGGACTGGGGTGGTCCTCCCGCAGGTGCAGCAGCCTCTCCTCTTGGGCCTGACAGCAAGTGTGCAAACTGGGGACAGTGAGCCCAACATGCGAGCCACCAGGAACCCAGCCACGGCTTCTGTGTGCTAGATTGACGGCTGTCGTCTGCAGTAGTAACAGCAGCTGGCCGGGCCCTGCTGCCTGGTGGCGGATCGGCAGTCACCAATGCCACCACGTGCCAACCCTGGTGCGGTTGCCGAGGCTTGTCACTAATCCTATTGGATGGAAAAAGAGATCTGGAATCCGGGGCAGTTTGAGCTGGAGCCCATACTCGCTAAGTGGGCTGTTGTGTCTTTAATCACTCAGCATAAAAGCTAACGTTCAGTGATGACTTAGCCCTGCTGAGCAATGGGTGGAGCGTGCGCCCCCCCCCCCCAAGAGGCTTACAGCACTTGCAACCACAGCGCACTGCAGAGCGGACTTCATGGCAACAGTGAAGGGGACAGTCATCCTGGGTCCTCGGGAAGAGGTGCGCACAACACTCTCTGCTGTGTTAGTCCCCTCTTCTCCACAATCCCCCCAGCCCACGGCCACGCACAGGTACACACACCCTTCCCATCTGTGTTCCTTCTCAAAAAACCTTGTTCTTGACAAGTTACCCATCAACCTCCCAGGGGTTTTAATAGATAACATCCACAGGAGTTCCTTCTCCCAAGAGTATTAGCTTTCTAATCAAGGGCTATTCAAGACTGAAAGGCCTTAATTAAACAGCCAAAGATGTGAAAGTATAATTAATGACTGAAGTGGAGGCCCAATAACTGACAGTGCTGAACATTTAAGGGATATCTTATCTACCCTGTTCTGCCTCAAGCAAGTGGCAGCCTGGAGGGGTCTGAGCCCCGCTCCATTCTCCTCCCTCTAGCTCTTGCATTGGGTGGCCAGATAGCAGGCCACTGGTGTTGGCCACAGCTCATTCCCCATCCAGGAGATAAGTGGAGGCTGATAAAAAGGAGCTTGCCATTCAGCCCAAATTCCAGCCCCAGAGCTCCCTATGCAGATCTTCCCTCACGGACCATCCTCCCACCACCACAGCCGGATTCCACTGTTCTTTTAGAAGCAGAGCATTAAGAATTAGCTCATTAAAGTCTGCAGGGAAGGAACAGGCAGGGGGGGAGGGATGTTGGGGAGTCTGACCCCCCAGACAGTCCCCTTTTTTTGCTCCTGGGAAGACCAACATGCTGTGATTAGCTTCCCAGCCCAGTGTCCATCCAAGACAGATGGACAGATGCCTAGAGGCAGTCCCTGGGCCCAGCGTTGGTCACGTTCATTGCTACACCGAGGCCCCTCATCCTGTTGCCAGGGGTCTGCTCACGGTCAAGGGATTTGTCTCCTGCTTTTTTACCACCTACTTGCCCCACCCCGGGGTCTCCATTCCCATCCTGTTTCATTAACTCCAGCATCTTTAGCAGCAAGGCCCCTCTGAGAATACTGTTCTTTTTGTTCCTGAAACCCTGCATCTCACCACATGCCTGAACAGATACACGCATGTACAAACACTAGACGTAGATCTGTACACATGTATGCCAGACACACACGTATATGCACACTCACAAACGTGCTGGCCAAAGACACACAAGTACACACATATTCACGTGCCCACAGATTCAGGCACGTGAGGGGGCAGCGCTATACAGACATACACCGACATCCAGGCATATCCGTAAATACAGAGATGTTTAAGATGTGCACACACGCAACATACAGATACATACTAACTCATACAGATTTATGCATATTCACAAATATGGATTCACAGATACACAGATATGCACAGGTATACAAAGATTCACTCCGGCACACACCAAGATCCATATACACACGTGTATGTGTGCACTCGCAAAAATACTTGCACCTTCTCCCTGTACCCCATGTAAGACCCACTCTCAAGAAGTATATATCATCTATCTCTGTGCCTCCATCTCTCTCTCTCTCTCTCTCTCTCTCTCTCTCTCTCTCTGCATCCCCACCCCACTCCCAACAACCCAGGGCTCTCTGCCCTCTTAATATCCAGTCTTAGGTCCAAGCTTCCTATTCATCAACCCCAGATCCTTCCTGGAGCCCAGCACCAGCATCCTGCCTGGAACAGAGGGCCACAGTAGAGTTCTCTGTCAGTGGCCCCAGGGCCTGGCAAAGTGGGGTGAGGGAACACAGCAGGGGCCCAGGGCCTGGGGCCTGGGGCCTGGGGCTGTAGGATCAGGACTGGAGCCACACTGCTACCAGATGTGGTAACTTTTGCCCCAAGGCCATCCTGGTGAGAGGTAGCTCCAGCCTGGGAATGTGATCCCTCTGGGGAGATAACCTGGGGATGGGGGGGGGAGAGAAGGAATTAGGGTGGGGACCACACCTCAGAATGGAGTGAGGAATACAGTTCAGAAGCTGGGGACTTCAGTTCAGAAGTTTTGAACTCACCCACTGGTGGCTGGGAGAATAGAAAACGGGGACCAGTATCTGAGAGGCCAGGAAAACCCAGGGCTGGAGGCGCATGTGCCCTAGACTTGCCCCGCCCACGCGGGATCTCACTACACCCCCATACACACTGCAAGTCTTGAACAGGCAATGTCGCCTCCACGTTGGAAAGCCGCCCCACTCCCACCCCACCCTGCCCCCTATACAGGAGCCAAAGCAGGAGGACACCACCCACCAATGAGGCGTTCCCCAGGTGCCTCTGCCCGGGGCAGAGGAGGGTGAGGGGGAGCCCATCTGCACCCTGCTGCTCCAGCTGCAGTTCCTGGGCCTGCCCTGCAGCTCCCCACCCCCCACTGGCAGGCCTCCCAAGACTGTGAAGGGCGCAATAAGGAGACCGAGTCAGGAAATGCTATGGGAAGTCTGGGTTTATGGCCAGATGAAGCAGGGGGACCAAACCTGGAGTCTGGGGGCAGCCAAGGGGTGTGCAAAGGGAGGGGGCTCCGAGGCAGGGACTCTGCGCCATGGGCTTAGAAGGAGCAGATGAAGGGCAGATGCCTTTTGCATTGGGTCCGCTTCCAGTGTCCCCCTAGTAGTGGAGAGCACAGTGTTGTCAGCTGCAGCCTGTGTGGCGTGTGGCCCTCCTGTCCTCCTCCGGCTGGCAGTGGTCGGGACTGCCAGCCGTGCTTCCCATGTGTTCCCTGGGCAGCTAAGGGGCATCCGGCTCTTCCCCAAGGAGGCAGTGTGCTTGCTAAGTTTCACGTGGGCTATTGCACTTGATTTTCACAATGACCCCAACAAGTAGGTGTTATCATCATCCCCATTTCACAGATGGGGAAACTGAGGCATAGTGGGGGTAATAAGTTGCCTGGGTCTCAGCCTGCAAGACGCAGAGCTGGGTGTGGTTGGCAGCAGTCTTACCCCAGCACAGATGGTCTTAGCCATGGTGCTAGCTCCCTCACATCTGGCATCCATGCTGTTCAAAGCTGGTGAATTACCTATCATCCCGCTTAATTCCCACGTCTTTCCTTCATCCCTCACCCATACCTTACATTCACATCTGCTACTCTCACCTATCACATCAGTCACTCCTCATATCATAGGAAGGAAAGCAGCCCCCAGGCCCCCAGGCCCCCGGCCTAGCTCCTATACAGGCGCCCAAGCACCTGGATTTCTTGGAGGAATCTCTACATTTCAGCCCTCCTCATAGAGGACATGGCTTCTCCAGTAGTGGGAAGGTGTGAGTTTGGGGAGGTGTGTTCAAGTAACTCAAGGGGACAGTATGTAAGAGTCTCCCTGCCACCCCTGCCCCCTGCCCCGGTCCCAGTCCCTCTCACCTCTGGTGCGCAGGGCCACACAGTTGCCTCGCCCATTCACACGCTGCCCTGGGGCCCAGAATCCAAAATTCCATCTGCTCCCATCAACCCACCGAAATCTCCGGTGCAGGAACTGAAGAAGTGACAGGCTGGGTCAGAGGGCAGAGGTCCAGGGAGACAGCTCCAGGGGCCCCAGAAAATGTTTACTGAATATGTGATTTTTTAACAAAATAATGTTAAAAAATTCTCACTGCCCACCCAGCTAGGAGCCACATATGCCTGAGACCCATCCCTGAAAGTTTGTACACAATGACAATGCGAGAGCAGCCAACACTCCCAGCCATCACACACAGCGGGCTTCCCAAACATTACTGTGCACACGGATCTCCTGGGGGACTTTTTAAAAATGCAGATTCTAATTCAGGAGCTCTGGGGTGGGGCCCAAGATTGGGCCTTTCTAACAAGCCACCCGGTGTGCCGGTGTGCTGATACTACTGGCCCATGAACCACCCTCGAGCAGCAAATGTAATGGCACTTATTCATCATAATCCCAGAGCTACCTTGAGGGAAGGGCTCCATTTTAGAGATGAAGAAACTGAGACCCCAAAGAAATCATTCCGCTAGTAGGTAACTAAGCTGGGCATGGAGCCTATCTCCTGACTCCAGTGATGTGCTGGGAAATGTTCGACAGCCAGCTCTGGGAGAAGATGAGAATACAGAGGGAGGGAGGAACGCTGGTTTACAACAGTCGCCCATCTCCTTGGTGTGCGTACATCCACAGGGGCAGATTTCAAGTCACAGGCATTAAGTCACTGAACATGAGGCTAGGATGAGATGCCTACAATCGACAGTCCTCCCAACCAGGTCCAAGCCAGCTCCAGCACAGCACTGCTCGCTGCTTGAAGCTGGCTTGGGCTGCTGAGCTGCCAGCAGGGGCTCCCTGGAGGCAAAGAGAGCTTCCTGTCTCCAGGGTGGTTGCTGCCTCACTTACTGAGCCCTAGAGTCTGCCTCCGATCCAGACCTGCCCTTGGTTGACTCCTCTGGCCGTGCATAGGATGCGATAATCTAAATTGTAGTTGTGTATGGAGATGAGGCTGCCTCTGTAGCAACTTCTGCAGACATTCTGCAGAAAGAAGAAAAAGTATGGTAAAGAATTTGCTGGTTTCTCTCAAGTCTTTGAGTCTCCAAGAGAGAGCCTCTTATCCCTTTGCTCAGAAATCAGAGACCCTCTCAATCCCATCTTGCACTCCCTTCTCTGTGGTCAGGAACTTTCTGCAAAAGCCAATAATACTTGGAATAATCATAGCAACCATTTGCTGAGAGTTTTAGTGACCCAGGGACTATTCCAAATACTTCTGTGTATTATCTCATTTAATCCTCAACCCTAACAACCCTAACAGGTTGGTACTGTATATCTCCATTTACAAACGAAGACTCAGAAGCCCCCAACAGTGAAGTGACTTTCCCAATAACACAGCCAGTGAAAGGCAGATCCAGGATTGAACACAGGTATATCCAATACCAAAGCCTTTCATCCAGCATCTCATAGTGCAGTCCCCCGACCAACAATACCAACGTTAGCTGGGAATCATTATAAATGCCAACTCTCAAAAATAAAATAAAATAAAATAAAAAATGCCAACTCTCAGGTCCCACCCCAGATTTGTAAAGCCAGAAATGTATTTTAACAAGACCTACGGGAGATCCCGATGCACACTAGGCTTTGAGAACCACTAATCTAAAAGGGAGGAGAAGGTTGAATCCAGTGTCTTCTCCTCCCCACCCCCAGTCCTCCACGGTAGCCCCCTGCCACTTACCTGAGCGTTCTTAAATCTCTCGGGGTTCCGCACCAATAGGAAGCGGCAAGTCTTGCACCCAGGACTGCCTGGAATTTGAACTGTGTCCTCTTCTTTGGGGCACTGCAAGTCCTTGTCTAGAGCAGCTGGGTCAGAATCCATGGCCTCCTCATCCTCAAATGTGTCCCAATAGCTGGAAGGCTTGGCCTCCTCTTCCTCTGACTGAATCACCTCCGGGGTCAGGGCCGAGTCTCCCTCCTGCTCCCCTGAACATTCCAGATTCTGACTCAGCTCTGCCTGTGTCTCTTGGCTTTCCAGACTGGGGGCATCATTCCCTGGAAAGAAGAGATAACCTGCTATCATCAGGTCAGGGGCCTCCCTTCTTCCAGGACCATGGACAGCTCTCACGGCCTTCCTAGAGCTGCCATCTGGAGCCAATTCTGGAAGGATCTCCTTGGCATTGGGTGAGGTGATAACACTTGGATTATAGGCACAAATGGATGAGATCCTGACTTCTGGCTGACCCCGTGGATGTGTACTGTGGGGATAGGAGGAGGCACCTGTGAGAAAAGCGTTTCATCTTCACAGGTGGGTGGGTTTTCCTGTGGACTAGCCCTGACAAAGTTTGGGTCACAGTTCCAAGTCCTTGAGAAATCTAATCAGAGATGAGCTGGGTCAACTGAAGGGGAGCAACTGTGGCTCTGGCCCCATGAGGCAAAAAAAAGGTGCAGGAAAGAGGAGAAAATAGAAAGGTAGGGGAGATGGGAAGAGGAGGCTTACCCGGATGGAAAGCAGCAACTGTCCCCAGCAGGAGAAGGGGCAGGAGGAGGGGACCTTTCATTTCCACTCAGGCTTCAGACAGGGACACAGCTCCACCTTCCCTCCTCGTGGATGTCCTGTGTGTCTGCGCAGCCCCTGGCACACAGTGTATGAAATGCTGTTTAACTGCTTGATTAAGGGGCAAAGTATTGATTAGAGCACTCCTTCCTCCCCAGTGAACAGACCCCAAGCTAGAGAATTAGGAAAAGGACATGGGATAGCAGCTCAGTTACAAAAGTCCCTTTTTCCTGAAAGCCCCATCACAGTTCCCTGGGATAGCCCTTAGCTCAGACCCTTGCCCCTGCAGGAACAGGCCTGCTCAGGGTCAGAGCACTTTCATTCACAGTGGGGGATGAGGGGAAAGGATGGTGGTCAATATAGTCCTGAGGACAGGCTTCCAAGGTCCATGCCATATTGGGCCAAGAACTCACCTTCAGGAGTCTGAGGCCTCCTCTGTCAGTGTGTCTGACTACTGCGCCCCAGAGGCAGCTCTTATACTGGGCTTCTGGGGAAGTGGGAAGTGACCAGGATGATTGCCCCAGGCTGGGGTGAGGAGCAGAGGAGCCAATAAAAGTCTTGCTCAGTCCCCCACCCTTGAGCTCTGCTGTCTGCTGGGATTGCAGAGACTTGCCTCCTGGGGCCCACTTCATATGTGGGCACCCAGACATGCTGGTGTGCTCAGAAAGACCCCAGTACAGGCATTATTACTGTCTCTAAAATGCCCCGGTCTGAACAATACTCCTTAATGCCAGGAGCAGCCTTCTGGTCAATACCCCAGCTAATGAGGGAGGGGGAATCCCAGATCGTTGGGAGACCATGTGGGGAGTAGATAGGAGGCCAGGGGAGCCTCAGCCCTCCTGAGTGCTTATCTAGACCAGGTACTTACATGCATCACATCCCTGATTCCATTCCTCGCCTTCATACCATGAGAAGGTATGGTTATCCTTACTTCACAGATGGGAAAAAATGAGATTTAGAGAGGGAAAACAGCTTGCCAAAGTTGCACAGGAATTAGGAGAACGGGTATTTCTAAGTCTTTTTGGCTCAAAACTCTTCTCTCTCTCTGACTCTCCATCTCTGTCCCTCTCCTTCACTTTCTTCCTTTCTCTCCCTCTCTTTCTCATCTCTAATATGTAAAAAATTATGCTCATTCTTTTAGGCTGTGGATCTAGATCAAGGTTCTCAACTTTTGCGCTGTTGCTATTTGGAGTGAAATAATCTTTGCTGTGGGGGAGGCTGTCCTGTGCATTGTAATAAGTTTAGCAGCCTCCCTGGCCTCTACCCACCAGATGTCAGTAGCACCTCCCCCAGTCATGATGATCAAAAACGTCTTCCCACATTCCCACATGTCTTCTGGGGAACTAAATTGCCCCAGCTGAGGATCACTGATCTAGAACATGCCATTTGTTTCCAGTCTCAAGGCATATCTTCTGGCCAGGAGGCAGCAGCTGGAATGGGAAACTTCATGCAGAGTCATTCAGACACTCTGGGCCATCCTTCAACCCATCCCTACTCCCCATCTCCCACCAGCTCTCTACCACCACCAGGGTCGGGACTGGGGGGATATGAGCAAGGCATTTGTCTCAGTTGTAAAATTTAAGAGGGCAAGAGTAGTCAAGAGAAACAATAGTCAAGAGAAACAGTATTTTAATGTAATCTTTCATAAAAATCAAAATAAATGCAAAAACCCCATGATGAACAAAATAGCAAAATTTTAATCAATCAAGCTCTGGCCAAATTCACTGCAATCCAAGGAGAGACCAGCAAGTGCTGAGCCCTGATTTTGCTGGATATCACCACCAAGGGCTAGAGAACTTGTCGGGGTGGGTGTCTCAACTCTGCCATCCTAGCCACATCCTCATGGGTGTGCATATTTGATTCTCAGATTCCAGTCCAGCCCTCCAGTACACAGAGCACCAGGAACAGGTAGCCCAGAAGGTGAAAAGGCCTGGGCCCTCCCCTCCTCTGCTGTCTCAAGAGTACCTGCAAATGGAGAAGTGTCTGAGGGTTCATTTCTGCATCCAATTGCAGAGTAACAGCCTTGCCCATTATCTCCCTGGCCCAACAGACTTGACTCTTAGCTTCTCTTCCTAATTCAGGGCCTGGGGGCTGGGCCAGTTCCAAGTTCCCAAAACCCCATCTCCAGATTTTGAACTTGTGATCTCCTCAGTGGGAGGGCTGGACCACCTCCCCATTTTTCTTGCCCATCCCAGGGCCCAGCCAGAGATATCATTGCGCCCTTTGGGGTGACCAGTAAAGTCAGCTAGCACCTTTAACCAACATAGCTGAAGGAATGACAGCTCAGAGGGCTTGAGATATAGCAAGTCAGAGACAAGCCTAAACCCAAGGTCTTCCAGCTTCTTAGCTGTGTCCCATAGCTGTCTTCCCTCTGCTTCCTCTCTTGGACCTCCCTTCTCTACAACTCGCCCCTCTCTGTGTTCTCCCCCATTTACTTTACATACAAACCCTGGGCAGACAGTCCATTGGCTTCAACTACCTCTTCAGTGACCACAGTGAGGTTTGCCTTGTTAAAAAATAATATTTTTGAAAGTACACCATGAACAAAACACTGTTTCCTCAAGGCTTTTATATCCGCGATTCTACTTACTTAAGTCTTAAAATCATCCTGCAAATTAGGTATTGTCATCTCTAGTCTATATATCTACTGCATGAGCTCAGAGAGGTTGAATGACTTGCCCAAGTAGACGCAACTGGTAAGGATTGGCATGTGTGACCCTTGTCTGACTCCCACATCCTTGCTTTCTTTGATATGCCCAACTGGATTAGCCTCAGACATTCTAGCCAGTGGTGCCAACGTGTTCACCATCCATGAGACTCTAATCCTCTGCCTTACTGTTTGCATTTATATTCACAGGGGTTTCAGACACTGCCTCTCATCTCAAGATTCAGCCCAGTTCCACATTGTGCAGAGGGTGGGTCTCTCTCTCGAAGGGCAGTTTAGTGTGGTGTGTCATGGAATCATGAGCCCAAAGCCAGCCCTTCTGTGGCTCTGTTTTCTCATCTGAAAGCGAAGGCTCATGACAGCACCTATATCTAATGAATAAAACTCCCAGAACAGGGCCTGGCATATGGAGTTGGGAGGTGGCGCTTATCAGGAAACCAGGACTGGAAATGTGACCCCAACCAACAAATAAGCACTGAATGTTGATTGAGCTCCTGCTCTGTGCTTTGCACAGTGTAAGGAACTCCAGGGATTCTTAAATGATGCAAGTTAGCTTTCCAGAGCTGAGTTAGCATCTTGTTGAAGATGGAAAATGACACACAAACCCATACTTGGGGATGTAAGGCCAGTCCTCTTATTTTTTTTTCTTTCTTTTTTTTTTTATAAATTAATTTTTATTGGTGTTCAATTTACCAACATACAGAATAACACCCAGTGCTCATCCCGTCAAGTGTACCCCTCAGTGCCCGTCACCCATTCACCCCCACCCCCCACCCTCCTCCCCCTCCACCACCCCCAGTTCATTTCCCAGAGTTAGGAGTCTCTATGTTCTGTCTCCCTTTCTGATATTTCTCACACATTTCTTCTCCCTTCCCTTATATTCCCTTTCGCTATTATTCATATTCCCCAAATGAATGAGAACATACACTGTTTGTCCTTCTCCGGTTACTGTGGCCAAGTTAAAAAAGGGTGTTGCCTGAGTTCTTCTCTGGGATTTTGATGGAATCTTGTCTCACATTTAGATCTTTCATCTATTTTGAGTTTATCTTTGTGTATGGTGCAAGAGAGTGGTCCAGTTTCATTCTTCTGCATGTGGATGTCCAATTTTCCCAGCACCATTTATTGAAGAGACTGTCTTTCTTCTAGTGGATCGTCTTTCCTCCTTTATCGTATATTAGTTGAGCATAAAGTTCAGGGTCCACTTCTGGGTTCTCTGTTCTGTTCCATTGATCTATATGTCTGTTTTTGTGCCAGTACCACACTGTCTTGATGAACACAGCTTTGTAGTACAACCTGAAATCTGGCATTGTGATGCCCCCAGATATGGTTTTCTTTTTTTAAAATTCCCCTGGCTGTTTGGGGTCTTTTCTGATTCCACACAAATCTTAAAATAATTTGTTCTAAGTCTCTGAAGAAAGTCCATGGTATTTTGATAGGGATTGCATTATACGTGTAAATTGCCCTGGGTAACATTGACATTTTCACAATATTAATTCTGCCAATCCATGAGCATGGAATATTTTTCCAACTCTTTGTGTCTTCCTCAATTTCTTTCAGAAGTGTTCTGTAGTTTTTAGGGTATATTTTGAGAACCATTTGAATGGTAAATGGTTCTCCAACCTTTTATTTTCAGGTTGTAGGTGTCCTTCTGTCTAAAATGAGTCTCTTGTAGACAGCAAATAGATGGGTCCTGTTTTTTTATCCAGTCTGAAACTCTGCGCCTTTTGATGGGGTCATTAAGCCCATTCATGTTCAGAGTTACTTGAACTTCTTCTTAAAGGGGAGTTTTAAGAGTCCCCCTTAAAATTTCTTGCAGAGCTGGTCTGGAGGGACCAGTGATACTCCCCCGTGTTCCAATACAACTTGTTTTTGGCCACTCTGCACTGAGCAAAATGACTAGAAGGAAAACCTCACTTCAAAAGAAAGAATCAGAAACAGCCCTCTCTCCCACAGAGTTACAAAATCTGGATTACACTTCAATGTCAGAAAGCCAATTCAGAAGCACTATTCTACAGCTACTGGTGGCTCTAGAAAAAAGCATTAAGGCCTCACGAGACTTCATGACTGCAGAATTTAGATCCAATCAGGCAGTCCTCTTATTTTATTTTTACTTTTAAAAAACTCTCCTTGTGGACATATAACATGCATCCAATAAAGTGTACTAGAGAGTGGACTGCTCAGGGGACTTTTACAGAGTGAATATACCCGTGGGATCATGCCCAGGTCAAGACACAGAATGTTTCCAGGCACCCAGAGACTCTTTCATGGCTCCTTCTTGACATTAATCCCCCCACAGAGGATCTCCATGGACTAGAAGACCCGCTTGTGTCACAACACACAGCCCCAACAGAAGAGACTTACGAGGAACAAGACAAAGTCCACTTACCACTTAGCATAAAGCCTGGCACTTAGTAAATGCTTAAGAAATGGGAAAGACTGTTACTCTTTATTACACATTTTGGAATAAGGGGAAGCCATGCCTTCCCACAGCAGAATATAGTTGATGAGGACAAGAAGTGAAAGTTCTACTTCAGTGGCATCGTCCGGAGCACCCGGCCCAAGGCTGAACCGGGAAGACTGTTTCCAGAATTCCACCATCTTTGAAGTCAGCAGACTGTCATAGAACAGCAGTTACAGTGGGCTTCAGCTGGATTTGTCTTTCTCCATTAGCTGTGTAACCTTGAGCAAATGGCTTCTCCAATCTGGGCCACTCTCAAAACATTTTAAGGCTCTTGATTTTCCTCTAGGACTCTAGAACCACCTGTAATTCTCTGTATATGAGGAATCCAGGAGGAATGGGGGCTTTAGGGCATTGACGCCTTACTTTCTGCTCACCTCCTTGGTGGAGCAAGGATTTGGAATGCTTTCCCTCCCCACTTCTGATTGGGACTCCCTCATGTCCAGCTGGGTTGGAGTCCTATGCTTCAAGATGAACCCAGGGGTAAGGGAGTGTGTCTTGCCTCTCCACTATGCTCCATCCCTAGACCACCATGTCCTGGAAGCAGCCAGTGCTACCAGCCACAGGATCCTAATGATTGAAAGAGCACGCTCTGGAACAGATAGCCAAGTCACAACATCAGCCACATTTGGATGTTTGGGCAAATCTTTGCATCAGCCACAATGTCTCTGAGCCTGGTTTTGTAAAATGGTGCAATAATTCTTTTTTTTAAAAGATTTTATTTATTTATTCATGAGAGACACACACACACACAGAGAGAGAGAGAGAGAGAGAGAGAGAGGCAGAAACACAGGCAGAGGGAGAAGCAGGCTCCATGTAGGGAGCCCAACATGGGACTCGACACTGGGTCTCCAGGATCAGGCCCTGGACTGACGGCGGCACTAAACCACTGAGCCACCCGGGCTGCCCTGGGGTAATAATTCTTGATCATACAAGGTCATCTTTCTAAAGTGCCTGCCACAGCAGGGGGTACTTGGTACTTGGTGAGTGTGCAATAAGCAGTAAAAATTAGTAGTTGCCGTTGTGCTTCAATTATAAACAACCATAGGGATCCCTGGGTGGCGCAGCAGTTTGGCGCCTGCCTTTGGCCCAGGGCGCGATCCTGGAGACCCGGGATCGAATCCCACATCAGGTTCCCAGTACATGGAGCCTGCTTCTCCCTCTGCCTGTGTCTCTGCCTCTCTCTCTCTCCCTCTCTCTCTCTCTCTCTCTCTGTGACTATCATAAATAAATAAAAATTAAAAAAAAAACAACAACCATATGTTCCTGAATGGCAGGAACCTGTGTCTTATGTGTCCATGTCTTTATATAGAGTTGGACAAATAGCATGTTGTCTTATACTGAGTTTCCCCAGATATAGGCCCTGAGACAAAGATTTGAGTGCAAGTAACTTATTTGGGAGGTGCAAGGACATTTGTAAGGAAGAGGAGAATTCAGGGGATCCCTGGGTGGCGCAGCGGTTTGGCGCCTGCCTTTGGCCCAGGGCGCGATCCTGGAGACCCGGGATCGAATCCCACATCGGGCTCCCAGTGCATGGAGCCTGCTTCTCCCTCTGCCTGTGTCTCTGCCTCTCTCTCTTTCTCTATCTGTGACTATCATAAATAATAATAAATAAAAATTTAAAAAAAAGGAAGAGGAGAATTCAGATGGATGAGAAAAACAGCCAAAAACATGGGTGCTACAAAGCCAGCTGCCTCAGCGGACAACTAGAAGTTAATCCCACTTGGAAACAGTGCCCAATACATGCCTTAGGATTAGTTCATTGTGAGGGCAGGGGACTGAGGCACTCTTACTCCCACTCCTGTGAGTTGTGGGCTGTTCCAGGGACATGTTACTTCTCTGGCTCATTCAGGCAGCCACAGTCTGTGGGAAGGAAAAAAGGCCCTTAGGTGTGGCAGTGCAAGCATAGAGGACATAGAGAGTCCACCTGCAATGAAGGAACTGGTGGGGTCCTGATAGCACCTGCTATGCAGGCGCCAGTAATTGGATGTTGTCTAAAAAGAGCTAAGTGAGCCCATTCTTCCATCCTCAGGAAGGCCCCATGGATCCCACCCCATGTTCCAGCCTCCTTGTTCTGAGAGACAGTGGAGTGGGGAGGGGCGGTCATCGTAAGGCAGAAAGTTCATGGGTGGGGCTAAGCAGAGAAAATGATGACCAGAGGAAAAAAGAAGTCAGTTTCAGGAAAGCAGTTTTATTGCTGGGGGCTAGAAGCAGGGACAGCACGTGGGGAGAGGAGGCAGCTACCCAGGAGCTGGTGCTCTGGACTCCTGGCTGGGTCCAGTTTAGTAGGCACAGATGAAGGGGAGCTGCCTTTCACAACTATCTAGACGCCACTGGCCTCCTGTGAAGACAACAAGAAGGGGACTTAAGCCTCTGGTTCCCCTTGACTCAGCCACAGAAAGGCCTCCCCCAACCCCTACCCCACCCCAACCCACTCCTGCCTCCAGCGAGGAGTCTCAAGACTCAGCAGGCCCTTCCCATGGGGGTGCAGGCCCCTCACAGCACCCCTTCCATGAGGCCCTCCTAGGGCCCCCTCCCACCCAGCCTTCCCATCCCTCATCCCCACTCCCACCTCACCTTGGGTACAGAAGGACACACATCCGCCACCACAGAATGAAGGCTGGCCAGCAGCCCAGGTTGCATAGTTCCAGCAACTGCCATCAACCCAGGAGAATTGTCTGCAGGGACCCTAGAGGAAGCAGGAGCAGAAGAGGTGGTGGGGGCAGGAGAGGGGTGCTGGTGGCAAAGGGAAAGTAGATAGGCGGAGCTAAAACTATCCCACCAGGCATATGCCCTTGACTATTGGGCCATGATGGACACTGTCCTGGTCAACTGCCATGCTGATCCACAGGGATCTTCATCATCACATTCTATGCATGGCAGGGACACGCGCATCCTTCTGGCTTTAACAAGAATCAAGCAGGACCTCCAGCCCCAGCCTAGAGATGCAGAGCCAGGCTCATGGTCTCACCCAAGTCATGTAGGGTGTGAGTCAGAGGCTGAGCAGAACTTGGCCCCAAATCCTTGGCTCCTTCCAGGGCCTAGGCAGCCTCCTGGGTGTCTTGCCCGAGCTGTCTGTCTGTCCCCAGTTCTTTGGAGGATCGGAGGGGAAGCACAGACAGATCTGCAGCAAGGTGAGCACTGGCTGGGGTTAAGAGTGCTCCCCACTTAGAGCTAGAACACCTCTTACCCAGCCTGTGACCCTGCCTCCAATCCAGACTTGGCCCTGGTTGAGATATCGGACTGTGTTCTGAATCTGGCAATTTGAGCTGGCACTGTGGATGGAGGCGAGGTTGCCTCTGTAGCACCTCTGGCAAACACACTGCAGGGCAGGATAAAAGAGAAAGAATGGAATGCTCCCTCAAAGGAATTCATGTGACCTTAGTCTCCGGTCTCTAAACCTCCAAAATTCATCTTCTCCACCCCCATGCCCACCTCCATGGCCATTTCAAGGCTGGAGGTCAAAATGCCACTTCTGTTTCTACATGCCTCTCCCCTCTTACCTTGACACCTGTGTGGGCCCCAGCCCACCTCCCCAATACCCCCCCCCTGCTGCCAGGGCTCTTCAGTGAGGCAAATAGTGCTGCAGAGGCTGGAGACATCATCCCCACCCCCACCCCCAGCTTCAGCCTCAGACCACTCACCTGAGCTTCATTAAATGTCCTGAAATGCCCCACCAGGAGGAAACGTGGACAGTTTTTGCACCCAGGGCTGCCCTCCAGTCTCACTATGTCCTCTTCTTTAGGGCACTGAAAGTCCTCCTCCTCCTTATCCAGGGCTGAGTCACACTCTACAGCTCCCTCCTCCTCAGGGTCATCTTCCGTTCCAGAGTACCCCTCCTCTTCTTTCTCCAGCGGTGTCAGCTCCCCCGTAGGAGCCTCCTTTGGCTCATTTTCTGGCATCTCCCCATCCTGAGGCATGATCTCATCTCCCAAGAAGCTCTCAGAGTTAGATTTCACAGTCCCTAGCAGGGAGAAAGGCCTAAAGTGCCCTCTTCACATCTACCCCTGTTCCTCCCCAGCACCACGGACAGCGTCCGCCTGGCCCCAGGCGGCAGAGCATTCACTCCTGGAAAGAGAGGAACCTGGAACCCATCCAACAGGAGACACCTCCCCCCACCCAGAACACCCACAAGAGGTCACGGTGTTAAGAGCAAGGATTCAGGCAGCTGTGGGTTTGGGTACTGGGCCCATCACCTACGAGCTTTATATTTTCGTGTCTGATATGGGTACATGATACCATATACCTCATGGGGATGCTACGATGTTTAAAGGCGATAATGTATAGAAAATACTCAGCATGACACACTCAGTGAGCTCAAAGTAGAAGGAAGCTATGATTATATTCATCATTGGTATTACACAGAAAGGACAACAATGAGAATGTCATGATGGAATCGAGACCATAGACACAGATGTCCTGAAGAGTCCCTTCAGCTCCTGGCTCCAGAGCCTCTGCTTCTCTTCTCTAGGTGTGCAAAGATCTTGATGTAGGGGAAGGCCACAGAAGGAAGTGGCTCTAGTCTCTAGTCCCATCTACCCTAGGAAAGAGCAAAGCAGACAAAGACTGAAGGCCAAAGAGACTTACTCAGATGAAGAGTTGAAACTGCCCCAAATAGAAGAGCCAGAAGTAGGGGGACTTTCATCTTGGCTTTGTCCTGCAATGAAGAATACAGTGTGTCACACACATAGTCACACACCTTGGGAGTGGGGTAGAGAAAGAGAAGGCATGACAAGAAGCCCCTGAAGCCCCAGGATGCTGGGACCCTTTCTGAATGGACACATAGCCAAGGCTGGCTTTCCTATGGGCCTCACATGAAGAAGGGAGTACTACCTTTATATGTTTGTACTTAACAGGCCCTTCAGAGTCTGTGAAACGAGAGAACCGAGAATCAGTGTTGGTTGACCTTTCCAGGAGCACATAGTGCTTAGGGAGCATGTCCCTTGCTCAAAGCGCTGAAAGCCACACACACTGCCATGCCTTCCCCAGCCAGGGAGAGCTTTCACATGCCTCAGAAGGAGTATGAAAGGCAGGGATGGGAAGTCTCATCCCTGCTGACCCCTGGAAGCCACACACAGTCCCAGCTAGCCCTCCCTAACTTCTCAGCCTGGACCAGTTGCCTCCCCAGAGAGTGAACACTTACCCAAAGTCAGCTCCACTGCAACAGGGAAAGCACTTACCCGCTCAGAGGTCCTCCTGGGTCCTGAGAAATTCACAGAGCTCAGACTCTCCTTTGCTCCATATCATAGTTACATTTTATAGAAGAGTCTTGGAGGAAGTTCCCCAGAGACAGGAGGGTTTGCCCCAGCCTGAGGGATATGAGAGGGCTGATAAGAAGTGTTTCCTCACTTCCCTAGAGAGCCCACTCATTCACTTCCAGATTCTCTTCTGACACCCCTTTCAGGAGCCTGGGGGCCACTGTGGGACTGCTCTGAAGTGGGGGGTTCTTATCTGGGCTGTACTTCAGAATCTCCCAGGGAGCTTTTCCAAAATGCACAGCTCTCCTGCTTCACCCATGGGAATGTGAACTGCTGCAGACATTTGGGAAATAAATCTGTCAATCTCTATTAAGATTAAAGGTGCATATATCACTTGCTCAATTTCACTCTTTGGAGACTCTCCTTTGGAAATAAAAGCACCTATAAGTAAGAATATTTTTACAAGATTGTGTATCACTTTGCCATTTTTTTAAGATTTTATTTATTTATTCATGAGAGACACAGAGAGAGGCAGGCAGAGACACAGGCAGAGGGAGAAGCAGGCTCCATGCAGGGAGCCCGATGTGGGACTCAATCCCGGGGTCTCCAGGATCATGCCCTGGGCCGAAGGCAGATGTTCAACCGCTAAGCCACCCAGGTGTCCCACTTGCCATTTTTAGAAACAAAAATCTCCATGAAAACAAGGAGCTGACTCTCCTCCGGATAGATGGATGGTGAACAAAAGGGAAGGACACAGAGTGTTCTGGGCATGAGCAAAGGTGTGGCGATAGAATGACCTTGGCCTAAGCTGGGGACAGTGTCCTCTCTTGCACAACTAAATTTAACAGAATACACATTGGAAAGGGGTGAGGAAAACATGGAGGAGCACAACCTATCTTTTTTTTTAAGATTTATTTTATTTATTTTAGAGAGAATGTGTGTGTACGTAAGAGCAGAGGAACAGGCAGAGGGAGAGAAGCAGACTTCCCACTGAGCACAGAGCCCAACACGAGGCTTGATCCCAGGACCCCAAGATCACAACTAGAGCCCAAATCAAGTCATTTGACCGACTGGGCCACCCAGGTGCCCTGAGTACATCCCACCTTGAGCCAAAGAATGGAGATATCCTTCCCACCATGTCCACTGACTTAAGGGAATAGAATGCAGGAGTCAGGAAATAACTCAAAAACAGCCTATCAAGGAGCTTTGAGCTGCATTCTGCTCACCCCCAGCCCCAGGCCCTCCCTGCAGGGCCACTTCACATGTTGGACAAGGCTATTAGAGTGAGACGATGACAGGATCAAGCCGATTCTTGGAGGCCAGTTGCTGCTCAGGTACCTCAACTGCGAGGGAAGTCTCTCCTTTGGGTCACACAATCCGGGGCCTGAAATTCACAGCTTAGTGACCCTAGAAATTCCATTTAATCAACATCCAGTGAGGGGTTAGAGCAGTGGATGAGGTTGTGGGTGCTGGAGTCAGTCCAAGTACGAATCTAGGGTCTGCCGTTCCATAGCTGTGTGACCCTGGACACATTCCTTAACTTCTCTGTATACCTCATGATCATTGTTTATAAAGTGGGAGTAACTATATCTACCTTACAGGGTAGTCAGAAGGAACAAATGAGATAGTGTGTATGTGTCGCAGACATGCTGCAAGCTACCCAGCCCCCTCACTGCCTCCTGGTTTCTAGAATTCCACTTCCTGTGAATCTTGGGGGAGGGGGCAAGCCTCTCATTCTTGAAAAGAAAGTGCCAGATAGATTCCCAGAGTACTTTGCAGCTCAGGCATATGACTAGGCTCTATCAAATGGGACCACCCAGCCACGACTTCGAATCTGGAGCTCATGACCAAGAAGGCCTCTCCCTGGTGGTGCAATGGTGAGACCCAGTTCCTGGGGTGGCAGCACTGGAAGAGGGATCCAGGGTCCAGGCACTACACTGCCAGCCACAGAGCCTGAATCACAGCAGCAGTAGCAGCAGCAGCAGCAGCAGCAGCAGCCGGGGCCTCTCCACACCCATCTTGTGGCCTGGTTTTGGCTCTGGTTCTCTAGCCTTTCCTTTAATCGTATGAGCTAACTCATTCCCTTTTAATAAACTCATTTTTCTGCTCAGATCAGCCAGGGAGAGGTATGTCTGCCTGCCATGAAGCATTTAGCACAGGAACTGACATTTAGTCACTGCTCAATAAATGACAGCTACTCGCGTTACTAGGTCTAGAAGTGATGGAGGTCTTTGGGACTGACCCACATTAATCAAACTCTCAAGAGACCAATGTCTGTATTTGGTGCCAATGACATAATTTAGTTGACCTGAACCCACATGAGGCCCACTTAGGGCCTTCTGACTGGTGCATTCTCCCCCTGCCTCCCAAGCTACAAATGTTGCTAAATTTGTGTCAATTTGTCATACAGCATAGAAGAGTAATAAGAGGATGTTGTGGAGCATCAAGACCCATTCCTTCCCAAGATGAAATTTACAGTTAGTGCCATTGGTGGTCGGGGGTTGGCACAAGGGGGGTGTCCTAAAGGAATGGGCTTGAGGACCTCCTGGAAAAGAATCCAGGGTCAGCAGGTCAGGAAATATGGACACAGAAAGAGAGGTTCAGTCCAGGCCGGAGGTCCCCCCCACTTCTCCCCTTAGACCATAACAGGCTGGGAAGTCCCTTCTAGTTAGTCTGAAGCTCTACCCCCACAGGAGTGATGACCTCCAGGAGCTAGACCTCTTGGGCTAACCAACTGCCTGATAACTGGGCTTGGCCAACATCCCTGTGGGGCAGATAAGAGATAGAGAAAGGTCTATAACATCATCCCAGGGCTGAGCACCCGGGAGATAGGGACCCAGGCCGTTGCTCTGTGAAATCAGCCTCAACAGCAGCTGCTCTGACACTTCCCTGTTTGGATGTCCCAGTGATTGACATGGACCAAGAATGCTAGAGCCGAAAGGGCCCTTGGCAATGACCCAGTCCAGTGTCCACGTCTCAGCCACGGGGAGTGCCCCAGGTTGGGCTCAGATGTCCCCATTCCCAGATTCATTGCTCTTCCTGCTCCCTCAAGAGACTCCCCTCCATCCCCTCCAGGCACCTCCCCTTCTAGACACTTGCTGCAGGGTAGGCTGCATGGCTCCTCCACTCCACTCGCCACCCTTCAGGATCTCACTAGTCCACCTACATCCCTCCATGTCTGCTGCCACCACCCTAGCCCATGCCACCATGTTGGATGACATACACGAGAGCCCGGCATTCCCATGTTCCCCGTTCAGTGTCCTCCTTCTGCACTAACAATGAATCCAAACTCATTCCCACTGCCTGCAAGTGGTGGTCTGGCTCTTGTCTACCTGCCCGACCTCACTGGTGTGAGAGACCCTTGTCATGCTGGTTTCTGCTCCATCGGCCAAGTTTGAGGCCTCACACTGGCTCCTTCTGTCTATTAGGTCTCAGCTCAAGGGCCACCTCCCCAGAGAAGCCTCCTCGAGAATGCTTTCTAAAGAAACACTCTCCTCCATCCTACTTTCACCTCAAGTTATTTCGTTCCACATTGTTTCATTATTGCCATCTAAGCATTTACCAAAATCACACGATCTTGCTTCTCTCTTGGTTTCTTGTCTATAGTCTGTCTCCTCCAGTAGGAAGTAAGTTCCACAAGAACAGGGACTTTGTCTTTCTCATTTACTGCCTAGAACTCTACTCAGATCATGGAAGGAGTTTTCCAATTACACATCGCATTAATCCATCAACTTGAACTTTACACATGGAGAAAGTCCAGTTGGGTTCTGCTCCTTGTATACCTAACATTCTGACCTCTACCTGCCATGGGCACAACCCTGAGCCAGGCTCTGTGTTCTGTGACATTCGTGTATGTATTCATTCGTTCACTCACACTCATTTTATTCACCAAATACTCAGAGATCATCTCTGACTTAATGTAGCTAAGACAGCAAGACAAACAGAATGAGCCTATTAGTCAATAAAACAAGACACTTAGAAGCACAGAACTTACACAAACTGGGAGTTACACATGTTTAGTGCTACCGGAGGGTGGGCAGAGAGGGCATCCTGGAAGAGGTTCTTATCCCACTTGGCCTCTATGGTACATGGCACCGCTCCACTTCCTCCTTCTCAAAAACTGTCTTAGCAACTTTCCTTCCCAGTTTCTGCTGGTGGGCTCCTCTCCCTCTCCCAGAAAGTTAAATATTGGCAATGTTTGCCTTCTTTTCTAACTCTACACTTTCCATGGGCTATCTCATCTATGTCCCTGTCTCAAGCTATCAAATATGCACTGAGCACTCCAGCTCCAGTCCTGCTCCTCACCAGGTCTGGCCACTGCCACAGATTCACATATATGGCCACCCAACGAGTTCCTGACCTGAATGTCTCATAAGAATCACAAATTCAACACATGCCAGAATGAATTCACCCCTACACACACACACACACACACACACACACACACACAACCCTGCCCCTCCCCCGTGGTCACTTTCTCGGGAGAAACCACCCCCTTGCATCCAGATCCCCACGCTAGAACCCTGGGGCCATCTCTTTCTTCAGCGTCTCATCAAACCCCAGCACCACCCGTCTGCCCCATCTGCCACTCTCCCAATCACCTACTAACCATTTTTCACCTGGATCGTTTCAATGGCTCCAAATTACTTTCCCCGCCCCCAGCCTTACCACCTCTCCCTGCCCCTGATACACTGTCCGGAGGCTCCCTGGTGTTTCCCTGTCACATGTGATCTCTCTGGCGTCAGACTTTTGCATCCAAGAATGCCCGTTCCTCCCTAACCACTGTACCACCCCTACTTGTTGTCTACCTTTAGACCAAGAATTGCCTCCCCTATGAAGCCTGCCCTGATTCTCCCAGGAAGAGGTAGAAGGGAGTCTAATGGGGCTCAATCTCTTTCTATCCCAGCCCCATCCCATCTCACTGCAGCTCTCATCTTGCTTTGTTTCCTCAGCAGACCAAGGCACGCTCACCTGCATATCTCTGGTACCTGTGCAGTTATATGGACACACGCTGGGGGCTCAATTCGTATTTGCCAGTGAGGTGAATGAGTGAAGGAAAGCAATTCTTGTTGAAGATCTCCACAGACTGAGCAGGGCACAGACTCCCTGAAACGAGACCCTAGGCAGGAATTCTAATAACCATTACAACGGCACCAGCTAAGGCAGGAGGCACTTCCCATGGGCTACAGGTGCTATGCGCTCGCTGTCATTGTTTTTTAATAAATTAATTTTTATTGGTGTTCAATTTACCACCATACAGAATAACACCCAGTGCTCATCCCGTCAAGTGTCCCCCTCAGTGCCCGTCACCCATTCACCCCCACCCCCCGCCCTCCTCCCCCTCCACCACCCCTAGTTCATTTCCCAGAGTTAGAAGTCTTTATGTTCTGTCTCCCTTTCTGATATTTCCCACACATTTCTTCTCCCTTCCCTTATATTCCCTTTCACTACTATTCATATTCCCCAAATGAATGAGAACATACACTGTTTGTCCTTCTCCGATTGACTTACTTCACTCAGCATAATATCCTCCAGTTCCATCCACGTTGAAGCAAATGGTCATTTAATCTCATCTACAATCCTGTGAGGCAGACACCACCGTCATCCGTAAATCACAGACAAAAAGACTGAGGCTCAGAATGGGTACTTGTCAGGTAAGCATCAAAACCAGGATTTGAGGGACGCCTGGGTGGCTCAGCGATTTGGTGCCGCCTTCGGCCCAGGGCCTGATCCTGGAGACCCAGGATCCAGTCCCACATGGGGCTCCCTGCATGGAGCCTGCTTCTCCCTCTGCCTGTGTCTCTGCCTCTCTCTCTGTGTGTCTCTCATGAATAAATAAATAAAATCTTAAAAAAAAAAAAGAAAAAAACAGGATTTGAGCAGAGAGCCTGCACTCCTCCCATCCATACTCAGCCTCCGTGGCAGTGAGCAACTACCTCAAAGCACGCCCGCTCATTCCCCAGTGTGCACGGTGCTCAAGGCAGCACTGTAAGGTTGTGCGTGGGGCAGGTGAGGAGACGGGAAGGATGGGGGTGTGCTCCCTGGACAAGCAGACTCCTCATCTCCCCCGTCTCCATTTGCTCATCCGTGAGCTAAGTTAGGGATGACAACCTTACGGGGTCTGGAGAAGCCTAACCAGGAAGGTGGTCATGCAAGAGTCCAGGAGGTGCCTGGCACCTGCTAGGTCCTCAATGAACAGCAACCCTAAACAGTATTCTCATTTTAGGGACCGAGAAAGACAGTCTTGGAAAGGTGAAAGGATGGCCTTTCACGTGGTAGCAAATGATGGCAGCTTGAAAAGGAAGTCTAAGTCTCCCGCCATCCTCAAGGAGAGCTTTCTGAGCATCTTTCGTGTGCTCCTCACTGTGTGGGACAGACACACAGCCCACCAAGAGGACCCAAGCCAAGAGCACCTGGAACCCCAAACAGCAGCTTCGCTCTCTCCAGCTGGGGGCTCAGACCTAAGATAGAGATAGTGATTGTGATTGAAGTTCATTGGGTGGGAAGGGCCTGGGGGTGGAAGACGGGGTGCCTTCCCAGACACAAAGAGGGAGGCGGGTCTGTCCAGAGTGCTCACCCGGCAGGAGGCCACGAATGGGAGAGGCCGGCTGCCCGCAGCTTTCAGGTTTACTGGTCTTGCACCAGGCTGGCCACACACCCAGTATCTCAGCAGCAGCTCCTGCCATCAACTCCTGGAGACAAACGAGGCAACAGCAGGGGAAGGGAGCAGCGGGCCTCAGGCTTTCCTCCAAGATAGGCCATCCTCTCCCGGCCAGCAGAAAGGGGACCACATTCTGACTCCACCTGTCTGCCTCTCCTTCCCTCCCCCCAATACAATAGCCTCAGAAATCACCCCACACCTCTCCGAGGCCTCCTGGTTCAAGTTATCCTAGAGCTTCTGCAAGCAAGTCTCCATGAGTGGGGACAGAGTCTGAGTCTGGGAGGTAGAGGCAGCTCCTTCCGTCCTTCCTTCTTGCTCTCCCTCCCGGTCTATGCGTGCATATGTGCACGTGTGTCTTTCTCTGTCCCTGTCGGTGTGTCTCTCCCCTGTCTGCGTGTCTCTCTCACTCTTTCATATATATCTGGTATTTCTTGAGTTCCCATCCTACAGCAGGGTAGGGTGCAAAGCCCCGGGGTTACAGTGGACATTACAAGGTACACTTTCTGCCCGCACGGAGTTCCCAGTTAATTCTCTTTTTAGTCCACGTGTTGCATTGCAGCCGTGGGGAGCTCTGGGTGGGCCAGGCGCCTGGTACCGTGCAGCCCTGTCGAGGTCACCGGCTAGAGAGGAAGGCAGGTGGAGCTGAGCCAGCAGAGCAGTAAACTGTGGAGCTAACTGTGGTTGGGTGGCACTCGCTCCAAGCAAGGAGAATTAAATCTTTTGTTTTGTTTTTTAATATTTGATTTATTTATTCAACAGAGAGAGAGAGAGAGCATAAGCAGGGGGAGCAGCAGAGGGAGAAAGAGACTCGGTGCTGAACAGAGAGCCCAATGTGGGGCTCGATACCAGGATTCTGGGATCCTGACCTAAGCCGAGGGCAGATGCTTAACTGATGGAGCCCCCAGACACCCCACCATTTCAGTTTTAAAATAGTGCATGTCGCGGGGGGCACCTGGGGGCTCCATCGGTTAAGCATCCCAGGCTTGATTTCGGCTCAGGTCATGATCTCAGGGCCATGGAATGGAGCCCTGCATCAGGCTCTGCCCTGGGGGTGGAGCCTGCTTCAGACTCTGTCTCTCCCTCTCCCTCTGCCCCCCCCTCCCCTGCTCTCTCCCTCTCTAAAAAATAAGTAAATAACTAAATAAACAGTACCCTCAGCTTTTAGCATGACTTGGCACTTACAATAAGAATTAACAGCAGCTGTTTATGAAGACCTACTGTGTGCCGGGGCCAAGGACTTCTCTCATGGAACCTCGTGGGTCCTCACCACTCCCTGGGGTGGGCACTAGAGCCCTGCTGCAGTGAGGAAACAGGCACGAGAGGCTGGGCCCGGCTCAGGCACCCTGCCTGGCACTGCGGGAAGGGTGCACGCTGTCTGTCCACACTCTCCCCTGGCCCCCACCGTCTCTGGCCCCGAGTCCCCGGGCTCAGGAAGAAATACACAGCTCTGCCCCTGGCAGCTAGGATTTTTGCCCTCACTGCTTGGAGAAATAACGTCTATTGCAAACATTGAACATAAAGATTAATATTTTTCATTGACTTTGGCTTAAGATTTTGGATAATGGGATAGTCTTTTTTTTTCTTTTCTACACAATACAAGGAAATCTGTATTGTTTTGTGAAGCAGACACCAGCCTGGGCAAAGGCTCGCAGGGTGTTTCCTGTCCTGAACCACGGCTGGTGACAGGCTGACCCCAGCAGGAATGAACCCCGGATCCTCCTTGCTCTGCCCTCCCCATCCCCCCCTCCCCGTCCCCCACCGGCGCTCACGGGCGTTACCAGCGGCACCTGCAGCCAGCCAGGCAGCCCTGCTGCATGCTAGACGGTTTGCATTCATGAACCCATATATATATTCCTTACAACTCGGTGATATAGTCCCATTGTTACCTCATTTTACAGATGAAGAAATTGAGGCATCATGAATCTAAGTCCCAGAGCTCGTGTGAGGAGGGGCTGGAAGCTGGTCGTGGACAGTCCAAACAGCAGAGGCCAAGCCTATGCCTTCTATTATCCCCCATGTTCCCTCCAGGCCTCCCACAGGCGCCCCGATGCTTCCCGTCTCCACTGCAGGTGAGGAACTGAGGGTCTGCAGGGTTTAGGATCTTCAAGGTCTCACGGCTAGCCAGTGCCTGGGAGGCCCAGAGCCTTTCCCATGTGCCCACCACACAAGTCCACCTGGGTCCTGGGAGGGAACACTGGGCCCAGGAAACAGAATGATGAGGGACCCATGAGCATATGCTTGGGGTTAGAAAAAAAAAATCAAAGCTATGGAGAGCAGCCAGCATGACCAAAAGCTGTGGTCCTGGGTTTAGCCAGGCGGCAGCTGGCCCTGCGGTGACTCATGGTGGCCAGTAGGACGTAGCCTATGGCGGGTGCGTGAGCCATCAGGCGCATCCCACCTCCGGACTCCTTGTCGTCGTCAAACAAGGACTGTGTGCCTTGAAACCCAGATGGAAGTTTCATCTCAGAGACGTTAGAGGAAAGACACTGTCTCCTGGAGTCTCGCCCAATGCGTTTGGGAAGCATCCTCCCCCTGGGGGCTGGCAGGAAGAGGGGTCATGGCTCCGAGCTTCACATCCAGAGAAGCTGGCAGCCAACGCCTTTAGCTAAAGAACAGTTGGCACCAGGTTGATGGACAACGAGTAACAGAGGTGGTGTCACTCTTTAGAAACTCCCAAGGTGACATCTGGCCCTGCGCTCTACTATTACTTCCAACCTCTGTCTGCTGACCTGGGCTGCTGTCGTGGTTCACTGCCATTGAGACGCCGGCTCAGGCAGCAGAGGGGGACAGAGTGAGGCACAACCGTCCAGGACCGGGTGGGCGGGCGATAACTAAGATGCGACACAGCCACAAAAGGGGCACGCACGTACACAGTCACGTGCTGGGGACGCTAGCCGTGCCATTCTTGAGTCGTGCAGTTCACAATACCTTTCTCAGGCGCTTTATATTCCGATCTATCTTTTTTTTTTTTTAAAGATTTTATTTATCAGTGAGAGACACACACAGAGAGGGGGTGGGGGGCAGAGACACAGGTACGGGGAGAAGCAGGCTCCTTGGAGGGAGCCTGATGCGGGACTCGGTCCTGGGACTCCAGGATCACGCCCTGGGCCAAAGGCAGGCACTAAACCGCTGAGCCACCCGGGGATCCCCTGTCCTGATCTGTCTTACACCCGCTGGACGTTTCCTACGTAAGAAGGGATGTAAAGAAAAGGCAACATCTAAAGTGAACGTGTCCTTAGGGGTCAGATCTGGATTTAAATACCCGCTCCACGATGTGCTCGTTTGAATGACCTTGGACACGACTGGCCACTCGGTGGAGCCTGACGTTCCTCGTTTGTCAAACGGGGCCAGTGAAAGGAGAAGGTTCCTAACCCACGCCGTCGGCTGTTCTGTACACGGCAGGTGCTCTCCTAACGGAGGTGCCCCCTGCCCCAGGCTCGGTGCCACAGCCCGAGGTGAGGGCACGTGTGCCTCAGCCCCTCCCCCCTGAAGCCGGGCAGCCCCAAGAGCCTGTGGCTGAGTGAAATCAAAACTTGTGAAACCCCTGGGTTGCTCACTTCTTCCTTTGAAAGAGCGGTTGGTCCCATTTGAGGAAGAAGTTGTGGGAAGGGGGCACCAGCGACAGAACTATGAGGCTGTGCCCTTAGGCCGCTTCTCCCACTTACTCATTTTCCCCAGAAATCGTCTCTGACTCTCTCTGGATAGAAATGTTCTCTGCATGTCCTGGGAATCCAGACACCTTTTTTTTTTTTTTTAATAACAGCTTGAGATAAAACGCACATACCGCATAAATCACCTATTTAAAGTGTACAACTCAACTGTTTTCAGTATATTCAGAGCTGTACAACCATCACCACTATCAATTTTAGAAAACTGTCACCTCCCTTAGAAGAACCCCCTCAGTCACCGGCAGTCACTACTCTTCGCCCAGCCCTAGGCACTCACCAATCCACTTTCTGCCTCTATAGAATCGCCTATTGGGACATTTCACATACGAATGGGGGTCATGCTCTGCGGGTCTCCTGAGACCGGTTTTGTTTTCATGGTTGAAGTGTGTATCTGTTTCATTCCTCTTTAATGATGAGCAATATTCCATCATATGCATATACCACATTTTATTTTTCCATTCACTGGTGATGGACACCAGGCATCCTTCCTGAATTTAATATAGTCCTGTAACAATAGCAGCGATCGTTGAGTGCCTCCCACATGCTAGGCACTTGACCTAATTTCTAACCCTTACGACAGCGCAGGGAGGCAGAGTTGTTTCTCCCATCACACTGATAAACACACCAAGATGTAGAGGTGAAGTGGCTCATCCAAAGTCCCACTGGTGACAGAGCAGGAATCAAAAATGGGTTGGCCTAGCCCCCCACCCACCCATCCACGATCTTCCCACCACACCACAGCTTCTCCCTAAACCCATGTGCTCTGCTCTCTCCTTCCAGTTGGCTCTGAGGCCAGGAAAAGAAAGAATCCTCTCCTTCAGTGACAGTTCACTGAACAAGCCATAGCTGGCTTGGGCCACGCATTAGTCAACGAGCTGGGTGGCCACCGTGTGGGGCTCGTTGCCCAGGTGATGAGAGGTCATCATGCAAGGAGACAAGTGCTGGTCACCAGGAAGGGTACAATCCAGTGCTGGGAACACAGGGCTGCCGGAGAGCCCAAGGAAAGATTTTTATTTTTTTAATTTTTTATAAGATTTCATTTATTTATTCATGAGAGAGAGAGAGAGAGAGAGAGAGAGAGAGAGAGAGAGAGAGGCAGAGGGAGAAGCAGGCTCCATGCAAGGAGCCCAATGTGGGACTCTATCCTGGGTCCCCAGAATCATGCCCTGGCCCAAAGGCAGGCGCTCAACTACTGAGTCACCCAGGTGTCCCAAGACAAGATTTTCAAAAGAGATGATATTTTGAGCAGGACTCCAGGGGACCAGGCAGATGGCCCTGGCAGAGATGAGGCAAGCCTATGCAGAGGAACTGGTGTGCTCACAGACCCAGAGACCAGGCACCTGGGTCACGGAGATGAGTTCTGTCCTCCTAAACAAGGCAGGGGAAGAACAGGGGGACACAGTAGAATCACACGGCAAGAGCCTACACACCAGGCTGGAGTCTGAGTTGTGTCCTGTGGGCAGCAGAAGCCATGGAAAGTTCTGAGCAAGATAACAAGGTAAAAGCCATCCAGTAGCACTGTGGTGTCTGTCTTCAGACCCAGGTTCCCAGGCCCCTGGAAATTATCCTTCTGCTGTTTACAGCAGAGCTGGCTTTAGACTCTTGTGCATCTTTGTATCCCCAGCACCTAGGACACAGCCTGATGTACCGCAGCCGTTCAAGAAACATTTGTTGAATGAGTGAATGAATGAATGAATGAACCAAGCAATCCATCTGCCGGCCAGCCCTCCCCCTCCCTGGCCTCTCCTGGCTCAGTGGAACAATACAGCTAGTGTGTTCCAAACTCTCCCGTCTCACCCACCTACCCTGTCACTCTCCCAGCCCATCACCTTCTCCACCCTTGCTACCCCTCTCCTTTCTGGTCATGAGTAAATAACGGAACAAATGCTCATGCATTCCCACCAGGTGCTAGGCAGCAGCAATTACTTTATTTTTTTATTTTTAGCAGCAATTACTTTAAATTCTCACAACCACTCTCAGGGATAGAAATGATGAACTGCACTTTGCAGGTGAGGAAATTGTGATTCATGGGGGTTACGGGACCTGCCCAGCTGCTGAGAGGCAGACCTGAGACAAACAGGGGCCTTCTGATTCTGTGCAGGGCTCTGATGGGGGTTGCAGTGGGGGGGTGCAGGGAGGAAGAGGTGGCACAGGAATGGAAGGAGGAGGGTGGTCTCGAGCCCCTGGCCTGGGACCAGGTGAGCAGATACAGGTCTGAGGGCTCCTGCTCCTTCTCTGGGTCCAGCAGCCACACCCAGGGTGCTGCAGCCAGATTTCTCCGCTCCGCTCCCATATCCACTCCCAGGCTGGAGCACCCTCAGGGATGTACAAGCATGCATACACACACACACACTCAGATGCATGTACAGGCACACACATACCTACGTGCACAGACACACTCAGGCGTGTGCACGTACACACTCAGGCACATGCACGCGCGCACACTCAAAGCATGCACACACACGTTCAGGTGCGTGTGCATGCACACACACACTTAGGCGCGAGCACAGGCACACACGACTTGCGCGCGCGCACACACACTCAGGCGTGTGCGCGCACACACTCAGGCACGCACACAGGCACACGCATACACACAGCCCAAAGCCTAGAGAGCCACACCTTCAGCAGAAAGGCTTTATTTTTCTCTAAGATTAATCCCCCAGAGACACGTTTTCTATGATGCCCAAAGTAAAGAATAGAGGGAGCCACCTCGAAATGCTGGGCGTTATAGCCAAGGTCATGACAACCCCACCCTTCACCTGGAAGCTTACCTGGCACGAGGGGCTCGGCACACACAGGCATCACAGCCAAAGAGGTCCAAAGAAGTAGGTGACATACTTCCCCCCTCATCACATCACCTCCCCTGAACCAAGTATCTACCAATGTCACGTGTTTCCTGCTCCGAAACTAAGACCCTCCATGGGCCTTTGCTCCGGGTCTATATGACAGCAATCAGCGTGGCACCTGAGCATCTTTTCTTGCTAACCCAAGTGTCACCTAGCTGTTAACTAGGTCTTTTTTTTTTTTTCAAAGAAAAGAAAAAGTAATGGCTAATTAATACAAGAAGCCCAGGCAGGCCAAGTGCTCCTGGATGTGGGGTCCTCACGAGTGGGGAAAGATGAGCAAAGACAGCGTCCTCTCGGCTGGAAAGCAGAGCTTCTGAGCTATGCAGTTGCATGAGGGCTCCTTTCCCGCCGGCACTCCCAGTACACCATAAAGGGATGGACGAAGGTCAAGACGGTGGCAAGCACCAGCGTCACGTTCACCTGAGGGTGGGAGGGGGCAGGTGAGGTCCAGAACTCTGAACCGCAGCCACCACCCACAAAGCAGCCAGAATTCCACCAGGAGTGGCCTCTACTTTCTCCTCAGACACTCAGAGTGCCCCAGGGGCAAGACCTCAGTTATTGTTCACTCTGCCCTGCAGAGCAGGGCAGCAGAGGAATACTGTGCCCATTTCCTAGATGAAGAAACAGAGGTCTTGAGAGCACTCACTACAGGCAGGAAACGTCTTTAAAGTCTTAGATTCTCCTTTGGAATTTGTGAGAATTTTACATCCTCCTCCAGAATATGTCCATTTGTTTCCACACACATAACAAATAAATTCTCCCCGGGGCACCTGGGTGGCTCAGTGGTTGAGCGTCTGCCTTTGGCTCAGGGTGTGACCCTGGGGTCTTGGGATTGAACACCTGCTTCTCCTTCTGCCTATGTCTCTATCTCTCTCTCTCTGTCTCTCGTGAATAAATAAAATCCTTAACAACAACAACAAAAATATATATATTTATATATAAATATTTTCTCCCTGAACCTCTAATGCTGTGGACTCTCTTGGAAGCCATGCCATGCTAGTCCTGCAGTTTCGAGTACCCTGGCCATTACGCAGGGTACTCTGCTTACCCCAGTTTGAGAAATCAGACCAAGGATGTACCCAAGTGCAGAAATAGTCCTGCAGGAACCATCTCAGCCAGATTTGGGGCGCCCCCTGCTGGGGCCCCACTGAGCCACCCCAATCCAGATGTCCTCTCTGGTCCAAGGCCAGGCAGGGCCACACCCCCAGCACCCAAGTACTCACATAGAGCGGGTCATTCTGCAGGGGACCCTTGATGAAGGTGAAGATAGGGAACTGGAGCAGAGAGACAATAGCTGATAAGGCCATCACCAGCCCAAAGAGCTTCCCAAAGTGCTCCGAAGGGAAACTGGGGAGAGAGGCAAACCGGGTTCCAGTGAGCTCCCTCCAGGAGGGGCCCAGCCATGGTGGGCCTGTGTCAGCCCCTTGCTCCCAGGTCCCCCATCCTAGGCCTGGCTTCACCCTCCCACACAGCCCTTCCCCCTCCACCTTTGCTTGAGCCACAAAGCACAGAGAAGGCACTGTGCGGGGACCCCGACACAGGTGGGCCTGGAGAGGTCTCAAAGAAAAGACGGACAATGAGCCAATCACTGTGCTGGACCATGAGGCCACAGCAAACGGAAGCAAGAACAGAGTGCCGAGAGCACAAAGAAGGAAGACTCTTTCTGGCTCTCCCCGGGATAGCTGAACCAGAAGTGGGCCTTGGAGGCTGAATAGGAGTTCACCAGGGAGATAGGAGAGGCCGAGAGGAGGGCCCCTACGAAGCCTCAAGTTAGTGAATGTTCTATCCGTCCCGCCAGCCTCTGCCTCTACCTCACTGTCTACACCTGCTCCAGGACCCTGCCTCCCTCACTGGAGCACCACAGGTCCATCCTCACCTCCTGACTTCTTTACCTCCCATGCACGTCCCTTTGCGCCAGCGTGTCCCCGGTGGGGTCAGGCAGCCCAGGCCCACTTACGCCAGGGTGAGGAAGGCGGCATTGCCCCCATACAGGAAGGAGCGACTGATCACTTGCAGGATGAACGTGACATACTGGAGGGGCAGCACGGGCACCGAGGCACAGAGGGCGAAGCCCAGGCATAGCAGGGACGTCAGGGCCAGAGAAGGCACCGCCGAGCGGAGGGCCACCGTCATGGCCGAGGACCCTGGTCCAAAGGGAAGAAGGGGCTGCGTGGAGGCGAGCACGGTGGAGGGCAGAGAGAAGGGGCTGAGCCACTGTCCACCGACCCTCCCAGCCGAATCCCAGCCTCCCACATGCTCATCTCCTATCCGTGCCAAACGGTGGATCATCCACCCCCTAAATGCTATTCAAATGCATCCACCGCTCTCCACACTCCCCATTCAGCCAGCTGCAGGCCTCCACCAGTGCACGCCTGGGTTGTGACAATGTGTGACAATGGCCTCCTACCACCAGCCACATGCTCCGGCCCCTCCAGCTCACAGCCAGGTATGCTGCGGAGCGCTGGAGGTGGGGGGGGCAGGAGACCACAAACAGCCCCCACCAGCCGCCACTCAGGCCAGGCTGCACCAACATCGATCTGCAGCCACACCAAAGAGGAAGGGAGGGAAGGACAGCCAGCCTGCAGCAATAACATTGTTACTAATAGTACCAATACTGGAAGCCAGACATCGTGCAGTAAATACATTTTTAAAATACTAGATACATGTATGTGTACATCGTGTGTGGCATATAGCATACCTACACACAGCGTGTGTATACAGCACTGTTAGGGAATACTATCTTCAGAGGAAAGGAGACACAGATATAAAGCCAAGGAAATAAACTTGGATTTAAAATACCAGTACATTCAAAAAAAATAAAATATAAAATAAAATAAAATACCAGTACAGGGTAGCCCGGGCTTAGCATCGCTTCAGCTGAGGGCGTGATCCTGGAGACCCGGGATCGAGTCCCATGTTGGACTCCCGGCATGGAGCCTGCTTCTCCCTTTGCCTATGTCTCTGCCTCTCTCTCTCTCTCTCTCTCCCTCTGTGTGTGTGTGTGTGTGTGTGCATCTCTCATGAATAAATAAATTAAATATTTTAAAAATAAAATAAATAAAAGAAAAGAAAAATCAGTCCATCTTGGGCTCAGTTGCTTAGGTCTGCCTTCAGCTCAGGTCATGATCCCAGGTCTTGGGATGAAGCCCCACATCAGGCTCCCTGCTCCTTGGGGTCTGCTTCTCCCTCTCCCTATGCTACTCCCCTGGCTTGTTCTCTCTCTAATACATAAAAATCTTAATAAAATAAAATATCAGTAATCTTACCTCTATCCAAGGCCTAAAAGCAGAGATGACCCAAGAGAATTAGACACCCTGGCATCCAGATTGCAGTCTTTATTTTTTTTTAAGATTTTATTTATTTATTCATGAGAGACACAGAGACACAGGCAGAGGGAGAAGCAGGCTTCATGCAGGGAGCCTGATGCAGGACTCGATCCTGGGACCACGGGATCATGCCTTGAGCGAAAGGCAGACGCTCAACCACTGAGCCACCCAGGCGTCCCAAGATTGCAGTCTTTAAATACCATTTCTGACTTAAAGGGACCCAGGATTACTTGGAGAAACAGCTGTTCCAGGGCAGGAAATATACCCCTTGAAACAGCCCCGAACATCTCACTGTGCTGGAAAATGAGACAAATAAGACATTCTCTAAACTTGATGGTGTTGTGTTAAAGCACACTGATTCTCCATCAGTAAAGTTCCCAATAACCAAAGATGGATTGATTTGAGCACATAGAAGATTCGAGATGGAAATGGATTGGAACCCATCAAATATATATATATATATATATGTATATGACTTTAAAAGAGAAACATGAGGGGACACCGGGGTGGTTCAGTCTGTTAATCGTCTAACTCTTGGGTTTCTGCTCAGATCATCATGATGATGATCTTGGGGTCATGAGATCCAGGCCGAGGGACTCCACACTCAGCATGGAGTCTGCTTGAGATTCTCTCTCTCTCCCCCTCTCTCTCCACCCTCCCCTCCCCACACTCCCATGCTGCCTCCCTCTCTAAAATAAATAAATCTTAAAACAGCAAAAAGAATAACAATAAAGAGAAACGACATGAAAAAGTAAATCAATTAAATTAAGTAAAAGAGAAACGACAAGTCATCCCCCCCGGAGGTTGCTAAGGCACCAAGTCATTCTGAAACTGGCACATGGAAGAAAAAAACCAAGCACTTATTTCAGGGCATAAGGTAGTCAATGAGAGAAAGCTTTTCTTTCTAGAGGAACTCTAGCAATTAAAAGCAGAAGGAAAGACAGAAAGAGACAAATGTCCATTTTGCAACCCTAATGAAATAATGGATCCCAGCAGTGATCACCCAGAGCTACTAAAATCATTACCCGTGCAGCTGATGGGAAACTCTGTACCGGGTGGATCAGACTGACAGCGTCTGGACCCACTAATCAATCCTAACATCGTAAGCACAGGGACAGCTGGTGCCGGGGGCCCCGCCGCCCAGAGCCAGAGGACGCCCGCCGCTCCACCTCCGAGGCGCGCTCGCCAAAAAATACTCAACTGCCTCTCCTCAAGCCTCCAATCTGCCTGTTTACGGGAAATACCCAATCAGAAACATTTTTAAGTGACACCAAAGGATGTCAAACCCAATCTGGGAGAAATCTGACAGAACAAATGACCCAGTTTCTTCAACAAATAAACCACCAGAAAAACAAAAGGTAGGGGGGAGGCGAAGGGACGCAGAGATTGAAGATCTAGGAAGGCCCGCAGTCAAATCCACAGTGTAGACCCTGTGTGCATCCTCGTGGGAACAGACTCACCGTGAAAAGGAGTTTCTGAGACAACTGGGGAAATCTGAATGGCAGGTTAGATGGTATTAGGAAATTACTGGTTTTGAGGACACCTGGGTAGCTTAGTGTTTGAGCTTCTGCCTTTGGCTCAGAGCATGATCTTGGGGTGCTGGGATGGAGTCCCCCATCGGGCTCCCCACAGGGAGCCTGCTCCTCCTTCTGCCTGTGTTTCTGCCTCTCTCTGTGTGTCTCTCATGAATAAATAAATAAAATCTCTTTTAAAAAAAGAAATTACTGGTTTTTGGGGTGATAATGATATGATGGTGATGTTTAAATAAGAAGGGCCTTATTTGTGAGAGAAACAGACTGAAGTATTTACAGATGAAATTGTCTGATGCCTGCAATCTGTCTTAAAATACCTCAGTAGGGGTAGGAGCAGCAGTGCCGGGGAAGGGGCGACCTCAGCGCCCCTCTGTTCAACCAGGCAGGTCCGAGGGTCACGTCCACTCTCCGAGGCACAGGCACGGCTGCCTCTGCCCCTTCCCTCCTCTCCCCACTTCAGCACTGTCTCCTCTGCACCCCAGCCCAGCCCAAATTCCTGTCTGGGATTCCTCAGATTCCTCACTCTAGCTCGCTCCTCACCACCCTGACCCCACTATATTCTTGGGCCCTCCTCTTCATCTCCCCACTTCTTGCTCATCCTTCAGGCCTCCACTTTGAAGCCACTTCCTCCAGGAAGCCTTCCAGAACATCAAGGCCATCCTCACCCAAAAAAGGTGAAATGCCCCTTTTTTTGTGTTCCCATCACCCCCTGTGAGCTGAATTCGCAGATGGTGATGCCTGATGACTTGCCCTTCTCTGTTCTCTAGACTGAGAAAGGTGTGAGAGCAAGGACCTAGCCGTCTGGCCCATGGTGGAGTCTGGAACTATGGCTGGCACGTAACTGACACTCAGTGACTAGTGGATGGATGGATGGATAGATGGTGGTGGGTAGATGGATGGATGGATGGATGGATGGACGGACAGATGGATGGACAGATGGATGGATGAACATGTGGACGGATGGGTGGATGGGTGGGTGGACAGTGGATGGACGGGTAGAAGGGTGGGTGGATGAACGGATGGATGGATGGATGGGTGGATGGATGAAGGGATGGGTGGGTGGATGGTGGATGGACGGATGGACAGGTAGACAGGGACAGGTGCGTGGACGGGTAGGTGGATTGTGGATGGACAGGTGAGTGGACGGGTGGGTGGGTGGATGGGTGGATCGATGGGTGAATGGGTGGATGGATGGGTGGATGGATTGGTGGATAGGTGGAAGGATGAATGGATGGACGGCTAGGTGGACGGGTAGATGGGTGAATGGGTGGACGGGTGGGTGGATGGGTGGGTGGACGGTGGACGGGTGAGTGGATGGATGGGTGGGTGAATAGATGGGTGGATGGGTGGACAGATGGGTAGACGGGTGGACAGATGGGTGGCCGGGTGGGTAGACAGGTGGGTGAATGGGTAGACAGGTGGGTGGATGGTTGGGTGGGTGGATGGGTGGGTGGATGGGTGGATGCACATAGAAAGGATCAAGAACAAAAGAGAAAGTGGCTCTGGCTGTGAATGAAGGTTCCTCCCCTCCTGGTCCCCCAACCCTCTGTGCCCCAGGCCTCACCTGTGCTTTTTGCTTCCTTCTGGTACTTCTGCTTGAGCCGGTCCATGAGCAGGCCGTTCCAGGGCGCACACAGCACCCCAAAGAACTGAGTGATGGCGAAGGCATTTGTGTAGGTGCTGACTGCAGAGGGCAAAGGGGGGCTAGGTGGTGAGAAATTTCCAGCACTGCCTTCCAGGGGAGGACTCTCCCAGCCCGCCCTTGCCCTGCCTGTCTCTCCTCCCCGCACCTCTGCTCAGACCTTCCTCGGGACCACACAGCCCTGCTGCGCTCAGAACCCTGGCCTCATGGTTCCAAGTGCCCAGCTGGGATGCAAAGGTAGGCCGCCACACCACATACCTAGTGCTCTGTCACCCCCGGCCAGGTTGGTGAGCAGAGAGTTGAGGGTGCCGATGAAGAGGTAGTGCCACAACTGTATCACGGACAGCCACACCAGGTGCCAGGCAAAGCGCTGTGAAAGCGCATAGCTCCAGAAAGAGCGGGGCTCCTGCTGCTGCTCTGGTCCTGGGGTCTCTGATGGGGAGGAAGGATCTGGGCGTGAGTTCCAAGAAGTAGGGGAGTGTAGAAGGCTCACAGGACCGTCCTGTGGAGCTCGTCCTATGGAGCGAGCTCTCCTCCTCTTGCCTCCCAGACCGCATATGGTGTGTTCTCAGAGCTGCCTGTACCCAGCTTGTCCCACCTCTACAGCTTGGTTACACGGCCCCACCAGCCTGAAGGACCCAGGTCCTCCTGTCTGCTGACACCCCATCTGTCTTTCACAGCTTGGACTCAGTGACACTGCTTGTAGCAGCACTTTCTCAACCAGGACGGTGGAGAGAAGGACAAGGAGAAGAGAATGCGGACTTGGAGGTGAGGGGAGTGTTAGTGCAGCCCGCTCACTGTCTCAGCTGCTCCACGCCCCGTCCCTTGCCGTCCATACCTATCCTGAGTCGGCTCTAGAAACCGCAGCCTGACTCCTTGCTCAGAGTCCAGGTGGGACGTGAATGATGTGTCCTGTTCCTCATCCAGGGCTGACCGGTTTGATCACATTCCCTGGGACATGGACCGGCTGTGATGTCTAGTCTGGGGCCCCCTGCGGCATGCAGGTCTTTCTCTTCCCCGGAGCCTGGCAAGTGCATGTTTTTTTTTGATTTTTGTGAGCTTCCCAGAACCCTGTTCTTGCTTGGACCTTGCCAGCAGTGGGTTTGTGATATGTGTAACCACAGACCCAGAACAGACAGAGGAGGGAAAGGAGGCAGGGCATGGGGAGCGGGTATGACAAGCTGAGGAGAGAAAAAGGAGGGACGGAGAGTGAAGATACAGAAGTCCCGACCCTCTGTGAACCCTCCAGAAAAGGGCGGGTAGGGGGTCGAGAAGACCCTGTGGGTCCTCAAATGGCCTTTGCCTGACTCTGCGTCCCCAGGGCAGCTGCAGTGGCAGAGAACCTGGACTCTAGGGGGGTTTGGGGAGAAGTCAGGCGCTGAAGGGCGGATGGGGAAGCTAGTGGGGCTCACCTTCCTTTGCTGGAGGCACCTCCTTGGACCCCATCTCCAGCTTCTCAGACTCGGCTGTGCTGTTCCCTCTCGCCGTGGTGTCCTTCCCAGAGCACAGGCTATGGACACAGAAGCACTAAGCCTAAGCCGAGCACTGTGAGCTGAGCCCGAGATGCAGGCCACAGGGGACAGCACAGGGGCTCCCAGAGTTCACCTGGAGACACCTTTCAACAGCCCTCATGCCCAGGCCACAGCCCAGACCAGTGAAATCAGAATGTCTGGGCACAGGAGCCAGGCTTCTATATATATATTTTAAAGATTTATTTATTTTAGAAAGAGAACACGAGCAGGGGCAGGGGCAGAGGGAGAAGGAGACTCCTCTCTGAGCAGGGAGCCCGACACAGAGCTTCATCTCATGACCTGAGCCGAAATCAAGAGTCAGACGCCCAACCATCTGAGACACCCAGGTGCCTCCGCCTGACCAAGCTTCCATATTCTTTAAAGCTCTCTAGTGATTCTTTTATGCAGCAAAGTTTGGGAACCACCAGAAGCGTGGGAAGAGTTGGCCAGGCCCAGGTTCGCATCCCAGCTCTGCCTCCCCCTAGCTATGGAGACATGGCTCAGACTGAGCCCTGCTGAGCCTCTTTTTCTCATTTGGAAAACAGAGACAAGGATATTCATCTGAAAGGATAATTGTGCAATGAAATCAGAGGGCACACGGCCAAACAGTAAGCGAGCAACACATCAATGCCTCCCCACCCCCCATGGTGCTGACTGCAAAACATTGCTTCACCTCCCCTGTTCTCCGACCTCTGCAATGGGATCCTGCAGCTCTGACCGGTCCTCCCACCCCTGCATTTGGGCTAGCTTATGAGCTGTTTCCGCCAAGACAACGCAGCAGAACTGGGCCAATTCTGAGAAACTCTGTGCACATCTGCACCGTTTCTTAGAGCCCCAGTGCTAGCCTAATGGAGGACAAGAGCCCTGTGACCCAGATATCTTTGTCACCCTGAGTGACTGCCAGACACACCCCATGTGAGGGATGCCATCCTCACCTGCCAGCCCCTGCCGTAGCCAGCCCACACCAGCTCAGCAGACGACCAGAGGCAAGAGAGTCCTGGCCACGCCCTCCAAATCCATCTCTGATCAGCAGAACTAGCCAGCTACCCACAGACTCATGAAAAACAATAAATGGTCCATGTTTCTGACCACTGACTTTTGGAGTTGTTTGTTACGCAGCAACAGCTAGCCGATACACCCACAGCCTGGTCCTCCCGCCCTGTGATGGGTTTCTTCTGCTCTGCTAGCACTGCATATGTCCCACCCCTGGCTTCCCACCACAGGTCAGGTGGAGGGCTCTGGTTCACCGTCACCAGATCCCAGTCCTTACCCATAACTGTAGTTGGGGGGCAACGGATAGGGGATGTGGCCTCGGGGCATCAGGAGGAAAGTGCGCCCAACATGCCAGGCACTGCAGACCGAAATGAAGATGAAAGAAGCCCGGAGGCTGACACCCTGTTCATAAAGTAGCTGTGGGGGGAGGAGGGAAAAACAAAACAAAAACAAAAACCTCAGCACAACAGCCCTGTTTGTGGCAACATGATTCCCAACATCCAAAAGGTAGAAGCAAACCAAAGGTCCATTTGCAGATAAATGGGGAAACGAACTGGGGCAACGGGATGCCATTCCTGAGAGAGGAGGGGAGTCCTGCACAGGTTATGACAGGGATAAATTAGAGGACATCAGCCAGGCACGAAGGGATCAACACTGCATGCTTCCGCAGAGCAGTCCAAGTCATAGAAACAGAAAACAGAACGGTGCTTGTGGGGGGCTGGGGTGGGGGGACAGGAAGTCACTGTTTAATGGGCACTGAGTTTCTGTTTTGCGAGGTTATAAACAGTCCTGGAGATGGATAGTGGTCATGGTTGCACAACAATGTGAAGGACCTTAATCCACTAAACTGTACCCTTAAAAGTAGTTCCCATGGTAAAATGGTAAATTTTATGTTCTCTGTATTTTACCCAACAGAAAAGTCTGTGTAAGAAGCAGGGACTGGAATCCCCAGTCTGTAATAGGCTCCTGCCCTCCATCCTGAATGCTGATCAAGGATTCCTGACACACACGCTCACCCTCACCCCACAGCTCAGTCAGCAGCAATGGGCAGGGGGGTGCGGGGGGGGGGGCGGTGAGCATCATGTCACCCATCCCCCCAGCCTTATAGACTCTCCTCATGTGGCTTCTCGGAGACCTGCCAGCCCACTGCTTTTTCATCTTATTTTTTTAACAGCAGCCAAGGCCTTCTTCTCAAACAAAACTTCACACAGAAATTCAGCCTATGAAACACATCAGCAGGGAGCGACCCAGTCATCTTCCCTCTCATTCTCTTTGGGGTCCAACATAATACCCCAGAGAACCCCTCAAGGTTCCTTGACACCCAGTTTGAAAACCATTGATCTAGCCTACCTCTTCCTTTTACAGAGGATCAAAGTGAGGTCCAGAGACGTGCGACCAACTGCTCAAGGTCAGGGTCAGCAGCAGAAAGGTCGGAATAAACTAAGAACTAAGATCCTGCTCTGACACTGTCACTCTTTCCAACACTAAGGAGACAAGAGAGAAAGGGAGGCATATCCAGGGGAAGGAGAGGGAACCAGGAAAGGGGCTCTGGTATCAGTGGTAGAGAGGCTTAGTAAGTGCCCCTGGGGCTCAGTCTTGGGATGGCCCTTTAAGCCAAGGTGTTTATGGGACTAAGCTAGTTAGTCTCAGGTCTGGTAGTGACTCCCAGAGATCCTCTTCTCCCCCCCCCCATAGCCCATGGGCTGTGCCAGCCGCCTCTGACCTAACACAAAGCCTGGAGGGAAGTCCCAAGTTGGGCACCTTCAGGTGTCAAGGACCCACACTCTCTTCATTTATTCCACAGTCATCCTTAGTGTCCTGCAGCTGGTGGCCTCATAATCACAGCATGGCTACCATGACTCCAACTATCACATCTTCCCACCACAACATTGAAAAAGAAAAAAGTGGGAAGGGGGACCAAGGAGAAAGGCTTTTTTCTGCTCTGTTCTCACCTTCTATCAGGGAGGGGAAAATGTTCCCTGAACTCTTCTAGGATACACACCTTTCATCTCATTAACAAGGACTGGATAATATGACCACCTTTACCCATCACTAACAAAGGGGGGAAGGATTGCCCCAGTTGGCTTAGATCATTCAAGATTCATCCTCTGGGCTGAGCACCTCCAGATGGAATGATGAGCAATGAAGAAGGTGGAATGGCTGTCAGGTGGCCACTAATAGCACTGGGACAGCGTCTCCCCCTCACCCCCCACATCAGCCTTGAGGAGAGGCCTCTGTGTCTGCTTCTGTTGCTCCCACTGGCCACCTCTCACCTTCCTGTCCAGACCAGAAGCTCACAGGCACAAACACTCCACCCCACGGGGCTCCCAGCCTCCGCCCAACACTGGCCTGAGGGCATCACAACCTCTCCCCAAAACTCCTATGTAGATGTAAAGAGCTTCATCACTACCAGGTGAAGCTCCAGAGCCAGACAGGCCTGGGCTCAAGTTCAAGTGTCATGTTTACTAGCTGCAGGAGGGCTAAAGGAAAGAAATCAGGCGAAGTTCACAAGACAAGTGCCTGCCACACAGAAGCGGGTGATAAATGCTGCTCGCTGGTGTTTCTTACCTTGATGACAAGGAAGACCGCCGAGGAGGAGTCAAATGCCCCGTTGTAGAGGGTGATGATAGTCGAGCGGTGTTTGCCAAAGAGGTTCCCAACCTGGAGAACACAGGAGTCACTCATTCTTCCTGAGACGGTACTTCCTGTCCACGGGGCACGGGCCAGGCCCTCATTGTACGCAGACCCACCTCATCCGAGGAGCTGCGGCCCTGGCTCAAGCCAGCCCCACTGGAGTAGCCGATGCAGAGCAGTGCTTCTCCCTCCCTCCACCCGCCCCTACCTCCGGCCTGGTGCCTGGGGTCAGGGTGGGCTCCTACCTGCAGATTGGTGATGAGAAACAGGATGCCTCCGACGGTGAGCATGGGCATGGCCAGGAAGAGCAGCAGGGCCGAGTCTAGGACAATCAGAGACAGAGGAGGGGTGGAGTCCTAGTGGAACCCAAACATGGAGCCCCACACTCTGGCTCCCACCGGCTCCCAAATTCCAACAATCCTGAGCTTCTATCTGGCCCCAGTTCTCGCCAGCCTTCTAGCATCCTTTGAGGACCTCAAGAGAGTAGTCAGGGCTACGCCAAATGTCCCTGCAGGGGGACCCTACAGAAGTCTCCTGAACCACCTTCCTCCCCACCAAAGGCGCTCCTCAGTCCGCAGCAGGCCTGCATGTCCACAGGGAGAGGCAAGACTCAAAGTGAAGCCACTGCTGCCTCTCCTCACTAAACCACAAGCAGCCCCTCCGTTCACGCTGGACACTGTTTGGGAGGGAAGCCTGGCTTTGGCCCCAAGCGCAGCCTCTAATTCACTGCAGGACTTTGAGCTGGATTCTGAGTCTGTGACTCGGTTACCTCGTCTGTTAAATGGAAATAACAGTCCTTGCTCTTCCTATCTCATGGGGTGCTGTGAGATCCGAGCAAGAAACAGCCATGGATTGTGTTTCCCTGGTCCATTAAACTCAGAGCACCTCCTCTGTGCCAGGCACCATGCTTGGCCAGCGGAACCAAGACACCAGGAAAGAACGCTCCCCACTGTGGGTCTTGGCAAGGCATCTCTCTCCCGCCCGTCTTCTCTACACAATGGAAGGAGGAGAATGAACCGGGCTGAAATTCCCAGACTTTGAGAGATTTCCACGTTCATGAACCAGTAATATTTGAAACGAAAACTTTTGACTGCAATAGGACTGCCAACTTTTGCCCCACTAATTGAGGATACTTTCAAAAACAACCATCCTTCATACTATCATTCTGCTTTTAAAAAGAGAACACATAAAACAATTTTTAAAAAAGAGAACACATTAACACATACAAAAGGAAGGATGTAAGCTTTCGAATAAATTCTCTCTGAAGCAACCCCTTCACTGTCATTTTTTGCATTTCTCAGTAACTACACTGGTTTCACTGACTAGCAACAACTCCCCCAAAGATTCTCTCAAGCTCAAAGCCTGGGGGATCTCTGAACAATGGTGGGGGTCAGGGTGTCCTGCCCATCACCTCTGCACCTGCCTCACTACCAGGGGCCCCTGCCTTGTGTCCCTCCCACCCCTCTGACAGCACTTACCTGCAGAGGTGAAGGCTATGGTGAGTGTGGCGGTGGTGTACAGAAATCTGAAACATACAACGAGAGATGGAAAATGTTGTCAAAAGGGCAGAGCAGATAGAGCCAAGGCGCTCCCACTTGGGGTCCCAACAGCCAATTCCTTGGAGAAAGGGATTAGTGCCTGGTCTACAAAGCAAAGCTTTGAGTTCTAATTCCTCCTTGCTGTGTGGCCTCGGGTAAGGCACTGCCCTTCTCTGGGCCTCAGCAGCCTTTTCTAGAAAAGGAAATGATTGGACAGATGTAGAAATCCCAGGGTGCTGTGATGTCAGGACTGCAATCCCAAGGTTATGGGGACCTCTTAACAGTTTGGGAATCTCACAAGGCATGGGGTAATAGAAGCAGTGCCCAAGTGTGATATTCTGATTTATAATAGGAAATATCTGTTTGCCCCTTGTCCCCAGTGCCTGACAGAAGGCTCCTGAAATCCCTGTAAAGTCTTCAGTGATAAGAGCACTAAGAGCATCTTTGTTCTGATCAGGTGACTCTGGGTTCCTGGATGGCTCCTGATTAGGCCCATCACCAGAAAGACCTAGCCACAACTAGAAACTTGGAATTTCCAGCCCACCCACCCCCACTTTTGCAAAAGGGAAAGAGGCTGGAAATGGTTAATAACTGATCAAGCCTACCTGAGGACAGCTTCCAGGCTGGTGTATACAACCACATGCCCGGAGGATGATATACCCCAGACACCACCAGAACAAAAGGTTTAGTCCTATGCACTGAACCTTCCCAGACTTCACTCTACATATCTCCTCATCTGGCTATTTATCTGTATCCTTTATCATATCCTTTAACAGACTGGTAAACACAAGCAAATGTTTCCTTGAGTTCCGTGAGTTGTTCTAGAAAATAATCCAATCTAAGGGAAAGGAGGTCATGGGGACTTCAGGTTTGTAGCCAAGCCAGACCAAAGTTGTGGGTAACCTGAGGACCTACCACCTGTGACTGGCATCTGAAGTGGGGGCCGTCTCATGGGACCCAGCCCTCAACCTGTAGGATCTAAGGCTCTCTCCTGGTAGAAGGCATCAGAACTGAGTTGCACTGCAGGACACCCAGCTGGTGTCACAGAACTGCATGGGGTGGGGAGACTCCACGCACAAGTGGTGAGTGGATATGTCAGAAGTAGAGTCTTCTATTGAAAGTCAAGGAGAGGGCAGCCCAGGTGGCTCAGTGGTTTAGCTCCACCTTCAACCCAGGGCCTGATCCTGGAGACCTGGGATTGAGTCCCATGTTGGGCTCCCTGCATGGAGCCTGCTTCTCCTTCTGCCTGTGTCTCGGTCTCTGTCTCTCTCTATCTCTCATGAATAAATGAATAAATAAATTAAAAACCTTTTTTAAAAAAGGAATAAAAAAATTTTTAAAAGAAAGTCAAGGAGAACTGCAAGAGGAGATATGTAGGATTTCCCAATATTGTTGGGGTCAGTAGAGTGGGATTTGCTAGAATGGCTCAGGCTCAAAGAGGCATGTGCTTCGAGAAGAGAAAGGGGATGAAGAGCCCCTGGCTCCTGGGTGGCCATGTGGTGACCCATCGGGTGGGGCAGCAGGTGCACGGCCACCATCCACTAGAGGGAAAAGTCACCAGTTTGGAAATCAGAAATGGATCCACCTCCCGGGAAGCGGGTCCAGGGGATCCACAGAAGTGCAAACTAATAAGCAAATGCCAAAAGATACAAGTTCAAGGTCACCGCGATCCATAATAGCTAAAACAAAATTAAAAGAGAGCGCCAGGTCAGACATGCAGGCTAGACCAAGGTCAGACCTGGGTTAGTCTGGGCTTTGGCCATTACCCTCGAAGTCACCCCCAAGGGGAAAATAGGCAGGAGCAACAGAAAGTGTCTCTAAGACCTCTGGTCCCCAAGGAGGTAGTCAGTGTGGGAGGAGGACGAAACTGAACCCGGGGCGGGCGGGGGTGGATGGTGAGGTGTTGCTACATTTTGGTTTTGTGAATGGATATCCTCAGCTTCCCAGAGAACCCTTCCTGCGACAGAGGGGGACAGTGGCCACTTTGTGGGCTGTGTCTCGGGTTCTGAACGCTGCAGAGTGTCAAGCTCATCTGGGTTGATGCAAGACCTGGAGCTCACTATGCAACAGTCACACATGGCCGCGCGTGATCCACACACACACACAGGAGGTTACGCTTGGCCTGGACTGCAGCCACTGTAAGGTCCACGTCCCCCTCCAAAGGGAACATACCAGATGGAGCAGCCTAGACGCTTTGCACGCCAGCCCTGTGCGCATGGCTTGACGGCGACCTGCGCCCAGGTCACAGGAGATGCTGTGGCGAAGGGGGGCCCTTACATGCAGGCACCCCATTAAAACCCACTGCCGCAAAAAGGAAAAAAAACAGTTTGGGAAGGCTTACTGAATTTGCCGGCTCAGTTTCCCCTCCTGGGTCTTAGAGATGCTAATAATTATATTATGTTAATTAACAAAAGAATGGGGACAGGCAAGAGATTGGTCTCAGGAGGGTAGAAACTTTTCAACAGTTATTAAAGAACAAGGTGAATAAAGTAACTATTGATGGGAGCGGAACAGAGAGGAAACAGAGGAGAGTGGAGGGTTCACCCCCACTGGGTGGAAATCTCCAGATGGTTATAGAGATGTGGGATAAATGAAATGGACAGCTATCGGGTTTATTAAAAAAAAAAGTGTTAATAACTACAGCACTGCCGAAGGCTGGGTGGGCCAAGGGGATGCCTGCCCGCCCAAAGCATTAAAGTGCTAGCAACCAAACCCAGCCCAGCCCAGTCTGTTTGTCCCCATTTCAAAAAAAAGAAAAAGAAAGAAAAAGAAAGTTAAAAGCCAGAAGACAGAGAGATCACAATGAGAAACCCAACCAGCAATTGCTGGGGCCAGCGGTTGGGCAGATTCATCAGCTTTGAGGCTGCCAGGAGGCTGGGCTCCCTTGACACTACCCCTCACCTTGGCCCAGAGCCTTCTGCACTGGAGTGGGCAAAACGGGCAGGGGGTGGCGAAGTTTCCAGGGCTCCTTGACCAGGGGACCAAACTCCCTGGAATAGCCCAGACGCTGGCTTCAGGCAGGATGAATCTTCCTGGTTTTTGGAAGCCGGAAGGTTGAGACAAGCTCCCCAGAAAGAAGTTGTCTCCTTCCCCTGATGTTTCACGAAACTAGACACCCCGTCTGGCCCAGAACACTTCCCCTACCTGACGGTAGAAACCCCTTGCTGCCCACTCCTGAGGAGGCTGCTGGTACAAGGGTCAGGGTGGGGGCGCCCAGGGGGCTCAGCCAGTTAGGCCTCTGCCTTCAGCTCAGATCATGATCTCAGGGTCCCAGGATCAAGCCCCATGTCCTCTGGCTCCCTGCTCAGCGGGGAGTCTGCTCGTCCCTCTCCCTCTGCCCATCCCCCTGCCCCTTGCTCTCTCTCTCTAATAAATAAAATCATAAAAAAAAAAGGAAGGTCAGGGTTACTGGAAGAAAGGGAAACGTTTATAGGAGAACTGGTACAATTGAAGAGGCTGTGGGAGGGGGCTGCCTCTTGGCTGCACAACTCTATATGGGGATGGACACCTCCCAGCTAGCACTGTGGGACAGGAGGCAGGTAAATCTGCCCTGCGTGTCAACTGGACTTGTGAAATGGGAGCCAGTGAGACCAGGGAGACCAGTGAGCCCAGACAGAGTGGAAAAGAAGCCAGAATGCTGGTAAGGGACGAACTCTCGGCGCAGTAACCCTCTGGGGAGCCCAAACTGGGCCTTATGGCAAAAGTCTGCAGTCACCTCCCAGCAACTGCAGGTAGCCTGGACAACACCATTCCCATTTCCAGGGCATTTACTGTCTTGCTATTGGACATTAATTGAATCCACACAGATAACTGAAGTACATAAAATGATCTTCAAACATGAAAGACTCACAATGTCTAGGATGATATCGGAGAAATGCTCTAACGGCGATGGCAATCCCCAGAAGAATTCCATGCTAAAAATAGCAATGGTTAGACAGGATCATGTTGCGGGGAGGGGTGGGGGTTGCAAGGAGGAGACACCATGAATGGGGAGGCTTTTGTCCCCTAGGACTGACTCTGGAATTCTACTGTCACTTGGACAGCGTCCCTATAAGGAATCCTCGATTGACCAATACAGAGCTCCTTGGCCATCCTCCAAGGCGAGTGGACACCACCACCCTGTTTGTATATGTGCTGCCGAAGCAAGCACACCACCACCCTGTTTGGAAGGCCACCACGCTGATCCAAAAAGTTAAAAACAGATCAGCTCAGTGGGCTGAATGGACTGAATGCCGCCGTCCTAGGAGAGCGGAAAGAAATCTACCATGGAAAAGGCCCCTACATTCAGGTTCTTACGGACCCCACGCAGTGGCCAATGGCCACAGTGGTCTGGCCATTGGATCACACAGGAGGGCAATAGAAACCTGGCCATACGAGGCATAGCCTATGGAAATCACTGTGACATTTGAGGGGTCCACTCAAATGGGAGAACTAGTACATTCAAATAGGCTTTATGTGAAGTGGTTGCCTCTCTTTTATCTGACTGTGTTATGGGGGATTAACCTTCTGTCTGAGTGAGTAATGTTTCCCCTCTTAGAACTGTGGTTAGGGGACTTTGTGCAGGGGTCACAGGACCACAGCAGCCACTATAACGGCTGGAAGCAGGGGTGATTCATAAGCAAGAAACTAACTATGTTTTGAACCATTATGTTAAGGTTCCTAAGTGCCTGGTGGGGCAGGATGCACCTTCCCTCTATCTGCCAAAATTGGGACAAGCAGGGAATGCAGCTATCTTGCCTGGTGGGAAAGACAGCTGCTAGCTCTGCTAGGGCTTGTCCCACCTGAAAGGGAGTGGATTGAAGGGGAACCTGCAGGACGTGTATTCCAGACCAGCACAGTACCCGAACCTAAAGTCCCCTCCAAAGGTGGAAGAGTTACAGTATGGACGGAGAGAAAGAAAATTCGAGAATAAGTGAATGAATAAGCGCTTTCTATAATGAGGGAAATTCAGTATCACATGAGCACTTCGAAAGGCTCAGCAAAAGAAAGATATTGTCTCTTTGCTCGATTATACCAGATGTCTGAAGGGTACAGGGATATATATCGCTGAGATCACTCCTGCTTTTGGAACCTGACAAGGTTGAACAGAAGCCTCTAAGCATAAATGGCCCTGGGAGACACTTTCAGATGGTATGTTGATGGACTGGATAGTTATTAATGACTCAATGTGTTTCTGTTAAGGCACCGGTACATTTGACCTTTAACTGCTTCTTCTAGGGAAGGAATCTATGTTCAAAGACCAGAGGCTGCGATGTGATATTGTGGTTTATACTAAAAAATACAGGACACCTGGGTGGCCCAGTGGTTGGGCGTCTGCTTGGGCTCAGGTCATGATCCCAGAGTCCAGGATTGACTCCCACATCCGGCTCCCTGTAAGGAACCTGTTTCTCCCTCTGCCTATGTCTCTGCCTCTCTCTCTCTCTCTCTCTCTCTCGTAAATAATTTTTTTAAAAATCTTCATACTAAAAAATACATATTTGGTCTTTATCCTGGGTCCCTGATACAGGGCTCCTAAAACCCTTGTAAACTCCATGATAAGAGCACTAGGTGCATTTTTTGTTCCAGTGGGGTGATTCTAGTAGGTTCCCAGATGGCTCCCTGATGGGGATTGGTCACCAGAAAGACCAAGTCATAATTGGAAGTCTGGGACTTTTCCCACTCCTCTAGAGAGGGGAGAAGGGCTGGAAATGGTTAATAATTGATAGAGCCTACATGAAGAAGCCTCCATAAAATCCCCATAGGATGGGGCTCAGAGAGCTTCCAAATCTATATGCTTTCATCTCTATCCTTCATCATATCCTCTAATAAACCGGTAAACACAAGTGTTTCCCTGAGTTACGTGAGCTGTTCTACCAATAACCCAGTCCAAGAGGGACAAGCTCATGGGAACCTCTGATCTATAGCCAAGTCAGACAGAAGTTGTCTGGGGACCTACCAGCTCGCAATCTGCATCTGAAGTGGGGGGCAGCCTTGTAGGACCCAGCCCTTAACCTGCAGGATCTGACTCACTCTCTCCAGGGAGACGGTGCCAGAATGGAGTTAAACTGTAAGACACCCAGCAGATGTCATGGAACTACTTGGTGCAGGGGAAAAACCCACATATTGGGTGACCAGATGTGTCAGAAGTGAAGTGTTCTATGTGAAAGTTAAAGAGAAACCCAGGAAAGACCACGTTTTTCTTAACATACTAAGGCTGAAGAGGAGGAAGGAGACAAAAGAAGGGGTGAGAAGAAGAGGGGACAGGGAGTTCAAAGACCAGGAGAGACTGAAAGTCATAAACACCCAATGGCTTCGAGAGCAGAAACTTGCTTTATCAGCCAGCCCTCCCTCTGAGGACTCATTTCCCATACATCTGCCAGGAGGCACCTGCTCTGGGTCCTATTAAGGCCTTGGCAGGTCGCTGCTTATTGCGGAAGCTGCCAGCTGCAGCGGTACCCTTTATAAATGAGATGAGGTCCTTGACCCTCGGTGAAGTCCCCACCATCTCCGCTCTAGTCAGGGGGTCAGGAAAGCCCACCATCAGGGATACCCAGGAGGCCTTAGTCTGTCTCTGGGGAATGACATGGGGGTGGGGGGGATGACAATTAAGCCTGATGTAAGGCCTGGTAGGATCCCTGGTGTAAAAGCAGAGTGACAATTTTCACTTCCACTATTTCAACCCAAGCATCCAGCCAGCCCTCACGGGAAGTAGGCCTGGGCTCCAGCTCAGTTTGAATACGCATCCACATGGAACAGAGGAAAAGGAAAGGGGAGCGGGAGTGCAGAGAAGAGGGTGGGTCTAGACAGAGTCCACATCTTGGCTGCTTCTGACAGCTGCCCCTCCCTCCATGCACCGCCACTGCCAGGGGAATTCCTCTTGCCTATCCCTACCCAGGTGGGGCCTTTGGAAGACTTACATGGCTAGGAGACGGGCCACGGTGGTCTTGAATCTGTCAAAGATGAAGCCAGCGGGGAACGTCATAAAGTTGTTCATGAAGGACCCCAGGGTGAAGATGAGTGAGAACCTCTCATCCTGGGCTTTGCAGTCTGGAGGAAAGAAAGGGAGATCTCAGGGAGTCGAAATGTGACAGCTCCCAATGACCCCTCAGGGGCTGGTACTTCCCTCCCTAGGCACCTCGGGGACCAAGGCTAGGGAGTCAGTGAGGAGAGGCTGACACTCCTTTCCTCCCACCGGCTCGCAGGCAGAGAGGCTAGCAGCAGGGTGGAGCCCTCCCACCCCTTCCTACTGCCTGGGAACCACACTCTGCTTCCCTAGAGAAGCCTCTTACCAGCCGGCCCAGAGACATTGCCCATCAGCGGGGCCTCCGGTTTGCATAGCTCCTCAAAGTAATGCTCTGTTTTGAAGACAAACACCAGTGATGCCCAGCCGAAGAGGATTCCAGAAAAGCCAAGGCATTCCAGTAGCCCTGTCAGCAGGGTGGCCACTCGAAGGGGCAGACCCTGGCCTGGCATGGCCCGAGGTGGAGCTGATCCCCAAATCTCACTGGGGGCCTCCCCGGCTGACCACAGGAGCTTCAAGCGCTGGCCTTTGGGCACTTGGAAAATTCCTCTGGCAAGCCCTTCTGTTCAAGGAGGCTCTGGCTCTGGCTTTTCTCCGGCCTGGGCAAAAAGCAGCCGTGGGCAGTTCTCTGGATCCTGTAAAACCAAAGCAGAGGCCGCTTGGTCCAGGGAGCTTGTGGGAAAGGTAAAAGTGGACAAAGAGTCCTGGGAGGTGCAGAAAGGGGCCAGCTGTTCCAACAGCTGCACAAAGCCTCCCCACCCCACAACGGCAGCATGTGGGGGGCACACACACTGAGCCCAGTCCTAGAGACTGACCACAAAAATAGAAACAGCGCTGAATTGGGGGGGGGGGCGGTCCTCAGGGTGTCAAAGCAACCTGGCGAAGTTGGCTGCCTCGTTTTGTCCAGTTTACCCCACAAGGAATATAAAGGTCCAGAGAGGGTGTTGTCAACTTGCCCGAGGTCACATGGGCTGGGTAGTCACAACACAGGCCAGTCTGCAGCCCAAAATATCCAAGTCCAACAGGGCCCTCCGTGACCTCCCGCGTGTCACCCGCTGCCGGAGGGGCCCCGCGCCCCCCTGTGCCCCCCTGCGCCCCCCTGCGCCCCTGCCCCAGCGCCCTACCCGCAGGCCTCCTCGCCGCCGCCGGCCTCCCGCGCGCCTCGGGGATTCGCGCCTCCGCGCCCCTCCCAGCCCCGCCCTCAGCCCCGCGCGTCCGGAAGGGCCCCGACCCGGGGCGGCGTCGGGGGAGGTCCGCCCGCCAGCCCGTCCGCCCGCCGCCCGCCGCCCGCCGCCCGCCGCCCGCGCTTCCTCTCTCCCCGCCTCCCCGCCTGGCGCGCGCCCCGGCCGGCGCTGGGATCGTCCCGTTATCTCCCCGCCACCCCAGCCGCGCCCGCTCTCGGCCCTCGGGAGCCTCCCGGCCCCTTCGCCTCTACCCTCCCCCACCCCCCAACCAAACTCGCTTCAAAACCGTGGCTCGCAAGGGGAGACCCACGGAGAAGAGCAGGAGAAGAGCACGAAGGCCCGGCGCGCGCGGGGAGACGCGGGGAGACGCGGGGAGACGCGGCCACCTGCCCACGCCCGCGCGTCCTCCCGCAGGTGCCTCGCCTCGCCCGCTTGGGAGGCCCCGGGGTGCACCTGTGCCCGCCAGCTCCGACCTCCGACCTCCGTCCTGATCTCAGGCTCCCAGGGCTGCCAGCAAACCCCCAGCACAGAATCGGAGAGCCCCGGGCAGGACTCAACAGCTTTCCAGAACCGACCCCCCCCACACACACACACACACCCCGCCCTGGTGGGGTGCCCCTGCCTTTTCACCCACAAGCCTCCCTTTGATTACTCCCTGCCTCACCCCCAGCCCAGGTTCTGAAAGAACAGACTGTGTTGATTAAGTATTCATTCATTGCTCCATTTCTTATTAATCAAAGACATATATAATTGCCCATTGGAGCTTGTGATCAGCGTGAGAAAGGCAGCTGAACCAGCTGTGTTGTTATCATTCCAGCCCAGAGCAAGGGAGCTGACTGCTTCCTTGGCCTGTGAGGCCATTTCCCCCATTAAAAGCTGACTTTGGGGGAGAGGTTCTTGCATATCGCATGCAGTCTGCAGACCTCCACACCCAGGCTTCTGGATGCCCCCTGGAGCCAGGGACTCATGCTATTCCAAGCCCACACTTCTTTTTGATGAGAAAGAAATGAGGTTAGAACAGTGGATGGCCAGAACCGGAGAGAATTTTCCAGATCTCTAGCACAGCACCCAGGGTAAAGAAACTGTGGTCACTAAAGGGACTGAGTGCATGGGGTAGGGGCACTCTGAGCTTGTACCCAGGTACAAGCGCTTACACACTTACACAGCCCCGGGCAAGCTCTACCTGTAAGATGAGGACTGCACTACTCTAATTACAATATTTGTCACAAAAGAAATATGAGGTGAGTTTATAAAGTCCTTGCAGGTACGGTAGATAGTCTCCAGACTGCGGGTGGTACTGGGTTCTCCCATTTCCAGGTATGAAAACAGCCAGAGAAGCAGCTTTGAGTGGGAACTTCCAAGGAATTTGACCAAGGTCACCAAGGTCACTCTGCAAAGTCACAGTGTCTGCCCAACTCCCAAACCTGTGCTCTTTCGCCTCCCAGTCCTAACGTGGGGTCCTCGGACACAAAAGAAAACAAATCTTCTTGTCTTAAAAATTAATTGATGGAAACAACCATGAGAAGATACAGCAGCCCAGGACAAACAGGCCTTAAAATGTGAGATTTTCCATCTTACTGGGAGACACTAAGACGCTGAAATTAATGCAAGCCCTCTCTCCTGATCTGGCTTACATTTTGGTCTCCCGAGGACCTGGGGGATCAGTGAGTGGGGAAGTAGCAAGGGAGGAACAGAAAAACAGGCAAAGCAAAGAGAGATTTTAGAATGTAAATCTGCAAGAGCAGGCCGAAAGGCCCAGCTCACGGGCTGTCTGTATATCCAGGACTGGAGCTCAGGACTCGGCACAGGTCACCAGGGCCTTTGTCCACCTTATCGCGTTGACGTGACTCTCAGCATCCCCCTGGCCGCCCCCGCCCCCCCCCCCATTACACCGGCCTCAATGTCTGCAGGAGCCACTGCCTCTCTCCAGCCATGCGACAGACTGAAACTATTGGGACAGAATATTAGAATGTTCTCTGAACCGTTCCCGCTTTACTCCATTCGAGTTCCAGCAGCTAGCGGAGACAGATGCTACTCTCATCACTCTCCTGCCTCGCTCCGATGAGGATTAATGTGTAACATCAGAGAGAGGAGTGAGTATAACAAGGTCTGACGGGGCACCCGACGTCTTCATTCCTTTTACTCTTCACTTCCTTCCTTCCCCTTCACCCTGCGCCTTTTTTTATTGATTGATTTCACTCAACAAATAGACATGGTGCACTAGGCTGTGTGCCCCTGGGGTGGGGTGGGGTGGGGACAGAAGAGATGCAGCGGCTCCCCTCAAGCATCTCATGCTTCAGCTGGGGAGACAGACAACAAACCCCAGGCAGAAGCCAACCCGGCACATCCAAAGGCATGGAGCCTTGATGGGCGGAGAACATTCAGGAACCAGCTAGAGCGGAGAGTGGCAGCGCTCGAGGCTGGAGCAGCCAAGCTAAGGGAAGGCATCTGGACTTGGGCCCATATCAGTCCTGTCCTATTGATCCTGCACCGTAATATGCCTCCTATCCACCCTTGACCGCTGCCCTGCTCAGACACTCATCATCTCTCACCTGGATGTTACCTCCTTCCAGACCCTCACCGATCTGCTGCAGCAGTTGAATTCCATGGTTTCAGCAGGTGACACTACTTGTGTTATTGCATTGGAAGGACGAGGGAGCACCTAACAGGATCTCTTGCCTCCCACCCGAGTACTGGTGCTGAGGGGCTTTTCCTTCCCATGACCATGTCTGGATATCCAGGCTCCACCCTGTGGGTGTTTTTTTTTTAATCTATTTATTTATAATAGTCACACACACACAGAGAGAGAGAGGCAGAGACACAGGCAGAGGGAGAAGCAGGCTCCATGCACCGGGAGCCCGACGTGGGATTCGAACCCGGGTCTCCAGGATCGTGCCCTGGGCCAAAGGCAGGCGCTAAACCGCTGTGCCACCCAGGGATCCCCCACCCTGTGGGTGTTTTTATGGCAATGGGGGGGTATATCTACTTAGGTCAGGGGAGAACGGTTTGCCAAACAAGGCAGTATGAATGAGCTGCATCGAGCTGTCCCCTGGCACAAGCAGTGGTTGGTCTTCAGCATGGAGGGCCCCTTCCAATGCAGATTCTCCCCACTGACCCCCCAACCCCGTACCCCCCACCATTGAGCTCTTGCCTCAAGCCTCCTCAAAATAACCTCAGCTAGGACTCACCCCCGACCCCTAATCATCACTTTCTGGCAGGGTCCATATACTCTTTCTTGCTCTTCATCCCTTCCCAAGTTTTTATATGTGGATACACTGCCACCTATTAATAAAAAGGGTTTTTGATGACTGATATGCCAAATGAATAAATAAACAAAACAAAACATAAACTTTGTGTCCTTTCAAGATCTGGGCTCATGCAAATCCAAATGTTTGGCTTTCCCAGCTAGGGTCTTGAATGAGGTTTCAAGAGCTTATTTCCGAAGACAAAAGTAAGCAAACATTTTCTCTTTCATTTTAAGCAAGGAAAAAGATCCTAATCATCTTTTTTTTTTTTTTGAGATTTATGTATTTATTTTAGAGAGTGGCGGGAGTGGGGGTGGGGGGAAGCATCTCAGCACAGAGCCTGACTCCAGGCTCCATTCCATGACCCATGAGATCATGACCTGAGCTGAAACCAAGAATCAGACGCCCTAGACCCACTGAGCTGCCCAGGTGCCCCAAAAAATACTAATCATCTTGAGGCAATGCCAAAACAGAACAAAACACTCACACTGATCCTGGGCCACTTACTAATCTTCCTGATTCCTCTGGTTTCAGGTGTCCTCATCTATGAAATTGGAATCAGATTGGTGTACAGATTAAATATCAGAAAAAAATAAAAATAATAAAATAATAAAGATCGGGTAAGGACATCATCCAATCAGTACATCCGCTACTTAATAAATAGCAGCTAGTGCCTGCCTGGCTGGCTCGATGGGAGGGGCCTGCAGCTCTTGATCTCCAGGTCATGAGTTCAAGCCCAAGCCCCACGTTGGTTGTAGAGCTTACTTAAAGAAATAGGGACACCTAGGTGGCTCAGTGGTTGAGCGTCTGCCTTTGGCTCAGGGCATGATCCTGGGGTCCTGGGATCAAGTCCCTCATAGGGCTCCCTGCATGGAGCCTGCTTCTCCCTCTGCCTGTGCCTCTGTGTCTCTCATGAGTAAATAAGTACAATTTTTTAAAATAAGGGATCCCTGGCTCAGCGGTTTGGCACCTGCCTTCGGCCCAGGAAATGATCCTGGAGTCCCAGAATCGAGTCCCACATCAGGCTCCCTGCATGGAGCCTGCTTATCCCTCTGCCTGTGTCTCTGCCTCTCTCTCTCTCTCTCTCTCTCTCTGTGTGTGTCTCTCATGAATAAATAAAATCTTTAAAAAAAACAAATGAAAAATAAAAAATTTTAAAATAAGCCTTAATAAATAAAAATTATAATAAAATTTATAATAAATAAGTAATAAACATTTTTTAATCTTTAATAAATTAAACATTTTTTTAATCTTTAATAAATGGGATGCCTGGGTGGCTCAGCAGTTAAGTGTCTGCTTTCAGCCCAGGGTGTGATCCTGGAGTCCCAGGATCAAGTCCCACATGGGACTCCCTGCATGGAGCCTCCCTGCATGGAGCTTCTCCCTCTGCCTATGTCTCTGCCTCTTTGTGTATCTCTCATGAATAAATAAAATCTTTAAAAAACAAATGAAAAATAAAAAAAATTTAA